TAGAAACCCTTTCTCTCTGTGCGCCCAGGACCACTCCCTGGCCCTGGCCAGCCTCAGGCATCCACTCCCTGTGGAGTGCCTGAGGCCACTAAGGAATGCAAACCCTGCAAACCCTTCGGGACGACACAGCGGTTGCTCCAACAACAATCAATCTAGGCGAATATTCTGAACATTGAACTTATCTTGTCACTTTCACGAGTCCCCAGTGAACAATAAGGTCAACTTTGCAGCATACCATGTTGCATTCAATTCGCCCTGATGTCTGCTGGGCAAACCCCTGCGATCTTGTCTTGGGCCGAAGAAGTTGCGAGGAGCGTGCCCAAAACCCCGCCTGATACCGATCAGTTCGAAGAGCTGCTGGGCGACCATCCAGCTCCAGCATCTCATTACAACCGAAAAAGGTCGGCGTCCGAAGCCGAGAATCCGATGTCGCAATCAGACCCTTCCAAGAGACCCTACCGAACTGCTTCTGAAACAGCATCCACAGTTTCCGTCCGTCTACCCGACGACATTATCTCTTTGGCCCCATCAAGTTCGGCACTTAGTCGGGGTGCTGAACAATCACGTTCACCGAGTCCAACACGTGTGAAGGCTGAACTAGCTGCCGCCACCCCCCGGGTGGTCTATATACATGAATCTGCCGACCCGCAAAGCCTCGCTGCGAGTCAGCTACTGGCAACTCTAACACACGATTCTGAGTTCGGCGAGAATGAAGACGTTGCTCGGAAGATCTCAAATGCTTCGTGCCAATGTGCGACTGAACTGCGCAGTGAAGGTTCTTGGGTGCATAAGGTAGCACTACCACTATTAGAGGGCGCTATTGCAGAACTACCGTTAGAATGTTGGAGCGTGTATGTTGATCGCACAAAGGCCCCGTGTATCCCTAGTCATTGCTGATTTCTGGTAGCCAAACTGAGTCCGTTGATCCCCAGTACCAGCCTCGGTATACAGTCCGCGATACATATAACCGCAAAATTGACTTGGTTGTCGGTCTTCCCGTGAACGCCTGGGAAGTTGAATACGAAAAGGCCGGACTCCATACCCCGGGGAAATATTTCAATCATATGACCCATCCCCACACTGGGAAACGTGTTCTCGGCCCTGGCGTTGAAATTCAAGCTGCGGATGGGAATTTGATAGAAGCGCAAGTCCAAATTGGGGTATGGATGACAGGACTTCTGATGTGGGCTTTCGCACAGCGTAAGGGTCTGAAAGACCTGCCTCCACTTGTCGGTTGCACTGCTGTTGGTGAGGACTGGAAATTCTACATTGCAATCGGAGTCGAAGGGCCTGGTATCTTGAAAGAAGTAGTAAGTAATATGCTTTAGTAACTTGGTTGCAATGCCTAAGTCCGTTCTTTTATAGCGCATCTGGGGTCCTTTGTCTGACCTAGATGGCCGTACCACAAGTTTGAAACATACGAAGTCTCTTTTGAAAACTCTTCGAGGAGTCATGGAGTACACAATCGGGCAGTACAAGGATTGGATTTTCCAAGCAATTACTTCCGAAGTTTGAAAATCACTTTCAATGGGAGCTCTATTCCGCTTTCTGAAATATATCCAATGAATTTTCATTTGGTGCCTTTCGTCTGATAACATCTTGGTAGTATAAACGACTGTTGTTCTAATAGGCAAGTCCAAGCTTTGACGTCGCGGTTTGATGCTCAACGAATTAAGCATACCTTAATTCCGTTGAATACAGTTGATTTGTCTTCTGGTAGTAGCTTTTAGTTGTTGGACACTCTTATGACACCTGGCTAGGGTTGGGTCAGTGAGCTTACCTTCAAATCGGCCTGCCCCGACGTACATCAGGTACTGTCGATGGCGCACAGCGTTATAGACTTCTGAACTTTCCAGTTTCGCCCACTTCAACCTGCTTGCTTCTCACCGACCCCGGAAAGAACGCAAGAACAGAGGAAGGAGCGTGTCCCAATCCGGAAAATCCGCAAAGTATAACGCATGCGGTTTATGATATTGTGCTAATTGTAAGAATTTGTTTATTTACAGACTCACCCACCGGTTCTAGATTGTTGAAAATGTATTCCGAGATGAAGTCCAAGTCCGTGGTATTCGCATTGTCTTTGCTGTTGAGCCAGGGCTTGGCTGAATATCGCTACCCCCTTGTTGGATCCCTTGGGGCTCTTCGCGTATTCCACTACAACAATCTTGGCCCGCAGAACAATGGCACCTCGGCTATTTTAGCACATGATCGCTCGAGCTATGCCGATGCCGCAGCAAAATGCACTGCCATTGGCGAGAAGCTCTTCCCGTTGTCTTCGAGCCAAGACACCAGTCAAAGTCGCACCGAACTCGATTATGAACTGGACTATCTCATCTTTACGAAGGAGTTACTAGCAAATGACTCCTTGTGGCTATCAATAGAACAGGAAGATCACCGGAAGTGTTTTGCTTTGTCGATATCCCATCGCAAGATCATCCGAAAGTCGTGCAAAGAGAAGCTCCCAGCCCTCTGCACATCTACTCCGCCCGCAACAACCGATCTCGACCGAGCCGCAAGGGAAACCACGAAGCTGACTGTGACATCTAACGATTATACCGTAACCGGATATCGAGATGCGCGATCCTTCCGCTTCCTCGGCGTGCCCTTTGCGACTCCCCCAATCGATGACTTGCGCTTTGCCCCACCGCAAGCCTACACCGGACCAGAGAACATCGATGCGACTAGCATGGCGGATTCCTGTATCCAATCTCCTTCAAGCTTTACGAATGTGCCTATTGGTGGAATGTCCGAGGACTGTCTCTACTTGAACGTCTTTACCCCATTCCTGCCCCATAATGTCACCAAGAACACCGCGCTCCGCCCCGTGGCTGTTTACCTGTACGGGGGTGCATTTACGAAAGGCACTGCGAGTATGGTCGATTATGACGGTGGAAACTTCGCCAGTCGCAGTGACGTGGTCGTCGTCACGCTTAACTATCGACTCGGGGCACTGGGCTTTCTATCGACGGGGAACCTGACAGCTGGGAGTTACGGTATTCAGGACCAGATCATGGCCTTGAAATGGATACAAAAGCACATTTCTGCCTTCGGAGGTGACCCATCCCATGTTACCGTCTTCGGACAGTCTTCTGGTGGCCAGAGCGTGGTAGCGCTGCTCTCTTCCACCGCAGCAAAAGGACTCTTCTCCGGTGCGCTGGTACAGTCAGCAAATTTCGACCTCCCGTGGTTCACTCGAGCTGTTTACGCAAAATACATCGCCCCGGAAGTCGGAAAGGCAGTTGGCTGCGACGGCAACGCTTCCGAAGCAAGTCTACTCAACTGTCTTCGTTCCGTCCCGGCTTCAATGTATCTGGATAACTCAACCGATTTCCAGACTGCGAAAAAGAGCTTCTCATCGAACATTGCAAATCACTTCTACCACAATACAGAACTGATATCCGCCGCCGAGCCATTCATGCCGATGATCGACGACACCGGATCAGGCGTAATCGACGACCAATTCAACACCCTGCTAGCAAACAACAACCTCCCCATGAATGTCCCAACCATGTTCACCAACGTCCACGACGAGGCAAGCCTTTACATGGACACTCTCGGCTCGACTCGGGCCCCACTCGCTACATTGCTAAATGCCACATTCGGCGACGGTCTCGCGCAGAAGATAGTCTCCTCTGGCGCGTACGACGTCGACGATTCGGACACCGATGCCGTCCTCAATGCTGCTTCCGATGCCCTGACCCACAGTCAGTGGACTTGTCCACAGGGTTATCTTCTCGATAATTCCAATTCAGCCTTCCCCTCCCTATACGAGATCCAAATAGCAGATGGTCATGCGCAGACATCCAAAATGCCGGATATCTGTTACCCAAATAGTGTATACAACGCTTCCTGTCATACCTCAGATGTCCTGCTCGCGTGGGGTACACTGAATACCAAGACGGAAGATGTGCATCCATACTACGATGATCGTGATGTTCTTCACTCGCAGCTCGTCCATGATGTGTTTGGTTCGTTTTTCCGCCGCAGGAACCCAAATCCGGATTTGGAGTTCTTGAAGGTCCGCGGTCCTGCGTACGCAAGTACCCTTTCTATATTTGGTGGGGAGGTCGGTTCGGATTCCTTGATTGGGCGTGCTGAGAAGGGGTTTGTTATTGAGCAGTATACGCCTCGGGAGCAGAATATGACGGTTCTGGGGATGCCCCCGTCTAGTACGGCTAATTTTGAGGAGGATAGTATTTGTGCAGTGTTGCGTGATTATGGGTTTACTTTCCAAAGGGCGCATCTGTCGGATTGAATCCGTGTTGAATTCAGCTTTGGGTATTGATCAAATCGATACAATGCACAATTCTTAAGCCGGTAGAGCTCATACCACAGCGACTCTTTACTACCCCTTGGATGTTCTCATCACGAGATGCACCGTCAATAACGGAAGCGGCTTGAGTCTCAAACATTATGGGGTCGCCTCGAGTTTACAATAGTGTGCTCTGATATATTTGAGCTTGTCATTAATGTTCATTTAAATGGCGAGTATTATCGGTGCAAAGAAGCAGGAAAAATGAGAAGAAACAAAATTCCAGATAAAGAGGCCCGCCAAAAATAAGAGTGGAATGCTAGGTCTGTCGTGATAGAGATGAGATGCGAAAGCCAAGAGTTTGAGACATGTCAATGATAGATGTGATAGATGTGTAGAGCCAATGGTCGGTAGGTGCTCATATGCTCAAAACGATGAGGACAAATGGTAGAAAGGAATTTGTTAGATATCAACGTGCAGCGAGTCGTGAGCATTATTCGTAAATCGGGAGCCTCCGCGACGGAACGTATCCATCATCTTCCGGGACGGTGGCCGGAGGATATCGCTTTGAAGCGGAGCTGCGAGGACTCGCCCACCCGGTTGTGCGGGGGTGTAATCCAGCACTGCTATATGATCGCTGCCGCTCGGAGCCGCTCCCTCCGCTACTGGGTCGACTATTACCTGTGCTGCCACCACTGTAGCTTCCTCTTCTCGTGTCGTCTGCGGCGTAAGGTCCCAGATGTCTCGGTACTGCTCTTGGTGGTGGAGTGGGTGGCCTGTAGAAAGGTGGATCTGGAGCAGCTGGAGCAGGGGCCGGGTCGCCGAATATGAATTCCCGGAATTTGACACCCGCGGTGCGCGATCGAGAACGGTCTTGTGCATGATCCTTTGGATTCTCCTTCGGGTAATCTCTGAGATGGTCCCTTAGGCGGTCTCTCGGGTGAACCTTTGGCGAAGGCTCAGAGTGGGATTTACTAGATCGTGAAGAGTGTCTTTCATGCCCATGGCAATGTCGAGTAGGACTGGCGGGCGACAGGTCTCGGAATGGTCTGCGGATGTAGGCTTCGTGGGAGTGACGTCTGGCATTACTGTTGGAAGGTGGTGATAGATGACGCCGCTCTTGGTGCCTATGGGGTTTCGCGCGGTCCTTGCGGTGACGTGCAGACTCACCTGAAGACACATCGGAGACATATGGGACCTCAGCTGTCCCTGGGCTTAGTGGATGGCCGTGCCGACCACCTTGGCCTCGTCCGCTTGAACGGGGCGGAGGCTCCCCCCATGGGGGAGGAGACGAGACTCGCGGGGTTGAAAAGCCCGGTCGAGTCGCTCGTGGCCTGCGTACAGAAAATGCGGGATATTCTCCGCCGTATCGTCGGCGGTGATTGCGATGGTCGCTGGACCGATCGGGCTCCACCCGACTATGACGCTTTGACGCCGCCCGGCGTGGACGTGAGAAGTAGTCATCTTCGTCGGGAAGAGGATCCTTGCCACTGAAATGGTAATGATATGTCCCAAAGTCTGGCGGCGAAGCACGCTTTGTATGTCTTTTCAAATAGTCACGCTCCAATCGCCGACTCACGCCTTCGTGCCATTCCAGCATCTCTGGGTCTGGCTCGGAAGGAAATGCGTCTCGAGGAATCGTCTTTGGAAATATGTCGCCATTTGCATCTGCAATATCCCAAAGGTTGACCGCATTCTGCAAATACACTGAATGTTCATCTGGGTCCATCAACAGTTGTATTGTCTGCCACCGCACGAAGCCATTCGGAAGTAGTGACGGAATTGATGGGGGTTCATAAGGATTGGCTGAGGGTTGTAAACTGTGGAAACACCCTAGTGACTGGTATATGAATGACAGGGCTTGTGCCTTGGTCTCGAGGAATAAAGTGTCGTAGTTGCCGCCGACTTTGCGGTAAAAGGCAGCCAGTCGTTCGGGGGTTATATCAGTCGTACCGTTGGTATCAAAGGAGGGCTTGAGAGAGGTCAATAGTGTCTCATCCAAGACGGGGTCTAGAAATTACCATCAACTGCGCTATCCCTAGACATAGCTGTTCCAGCAGTGGGGCCGGGCTCTTGTCTGAATTGATCAATGTACCCCAGTGAATATCCGCAGAAGCCATGGATGCGGGGTGTGAGGTAGTGAGAAGTGCATGCAAGCAGATGCATTAGAGCATTTCATGTCGAAGTTGGGCGCATGTCAAGAAGGGTGTTGACGAGGAACAGAGCGGTCAGGCACGAACGGGACCCACTGCGGGGGAACCAAAGAACTGCGAAGTATGAAAGTTCCAAGGTTGATATGAAAGTGAGATGTAAGCGATATATAGATGAGACACAAAGAATACAAAGAACGTTGAAAATATTATCATACTAAGCTGTCTTGCCTCATATCTCTATCCCAATTACACAGAAAATACATGTGACTTGATGTCATCCATCCCCGTGACTCACATACAATGTTGCATGACTGTGAAGCCTGATGTGGCGCCGTATGACCCAATCAGCCGTTAATTAAAAGAAAAAGGCCTTAATTATTTTAATTAGTCGGGATGCTCAACATAATAGCAATCAATATAGACTTGCCTAGGCAGGAATCTCCACTGTATGCCTAGAATACATATGTAGGCTGGCGGGGTCCCGCTGAGCTGGGTGCCCCTAAAAACTGAGGCGAAATACCGGAGTGGGGTTATGAACCCCAGTTCTGCCGGTGGATCCCGACCTTGGTCGGCTGAACCTTGATCCGGGTACAGCACGCGCCACGACTCTGACCCTTTGTCGTCGAGCAGCAGCGATAATTAATTAACCCCTCAGCAATCAGCATAATGGCAATTCTGATAGCATCTCCGATCCGCCTATCCCACATTTTCAGTGTATCCAACAAAGCTCACCCTACACCAACATATATGATAATGCGCCTGTTAGTCCGCTTCGCGCCCGAGAAAACACCCAACACTTACGGGATATGCTCCCCCATTCCCACCCAGAACAAAAACGCTGGGAAAATCCCGGGGCTAGGTTGCACGTCACTTGAATGACATGGCGCCATTCACGCTTTGGGACGAGCAAAACCACAAGTTCCGCCACCCCTCACGTCAGGACTAGACCTGGATCCGTAGTAAGTTCGGGGAGGGAATAGTGCACATATCCGGGTGGCTTATTTATGTGGAGACGGCCTTTCTACCCCAGCCGATATCACTAACCCTTAGAACGATGCCTATCATGTTCGTGCGCCCCGGTGAGATGTTTAGGGAACCAATCCCCTTATCTAGATATTCGAATCATCGTGTTTCCGATCCCTATCCCACTATCCGGTGGCCTAAATTGACCAATCCGACTAAGCGTTAGACAGTTGCTATACTTACTACCATCGCGCCACTTGCTCGCGTGAGAGCTGCTATTTTTCTCCCTACCTAGACTATCTTCGAACTTGAGTTTGGAGATAGCCGGAGCTATAAAAAGCAATCCCTTCCCGGGGTCGTGGGTAGGCCGAACAGCACTCTACCACCATAAAGATAAACCGTTTTCTAGCACCATAAGAAGCCTTACCCGCCCTCGCTTTATTAACTCATCCCTAGTATCGGCTGCTAGTGCTACACCACAAGATGACTCAAACTACCTTCGGCGGTCGGTTCTTACACCAGGATGTAGAATCAAGAGTGGCTTTAGGCTACCAGGTGCCCTAACCGAATTCACAAACGCTACAACCACGTGTGGTATCAAAATTCGCCATCTCGCGGGCGAAGAAATGCTGATAGTCGCCAATCATGGTTTTCTCTCATTATAGGAAGTATACCACCCATTTGTGAATGGAGGAGATCTTATCGGCGAGGTCGTCGATCCCCGACCCGAGCCCGACATCGCTCTCGTCAAGCTAACACCCGCTGCCTCATCTAGCTTCACTAATTCCTACTACTTTCAAGCCGAACCACCTTCTCACCTCCTAGAAATGTCCCAAATCTCCCAAGGCTCATGGAGTGAAGTGGAGGGCATGAGTTCAGGGCTCTTTAGCATAATGAATATCGGCACCCAAACCATGCAACCGAAACGTCCAGCTGGCCATCCCGAAATCGAATTTGAAGAATGGGATACCAGATCGGTGAATTTCCTTTTTGGGAATGTTAATAGGGCTATCTCTGATGGTGTGTGCGGCGCCCCAATCGTAGACATTGAATCAGGTGGAGTATCCGGCTTTTTCCATCTGAGTGATGGGGTCTTTGCTTATAGTGCTGTCCTTGATGATCTGGTGGCCGAGGGATGAGGATTAGTGTGAATGTGGAGTTCTGAGCTATTATCGCCGGATGCTATAGCATCTTCGGTGGGACTTGCCGCTAGCTTGCTATTTCGTCTACCTTTTACACACCCCTTACGAGTTTTCTTCATGTATTATTAGCTGTTGGGTGACCTGGAACTTACCGCAAAGCATGCGGTTTTACTGAGGACGAAGCCCATGATTAATGGAGTTGCGATAGGGAATGGAGAAAGGAGGAGGGAGCAAGACTGTTCTCCGGCACCTCCCCGTGACAGATGGATTCTGTGCCTTCCAGTCTTGCGTCATCATGCTTGAGTGCGCTATTTTTGAGAGCGGAGTGAGAAGATCTGGTCTCACTGATCACGCAAATGGCCAAAAGCACTTTGACTAATTCACCATCTAGGCCAAGCACAGTGGACAATCTCGAAGGCATCAATGAAGCAAGCGATATTCCGAGAGAAGAGGCTTGTTCAGCGATAACCAATAGCCAACGGCTTGGAGCGCACCCGCTAACGCTAAAGGGTAGCAAAAGTAGATGAAATAGCTTTTTTGGTTCCAGTTACTTCTCCCTTCACATCCAACAAACCAGATCGGCCCTCAACTCCATCGAAAATGGCACGTTTCATGTGCCGTCTCGCTGTACGTAGAATACCCCGTGCTCCACTAGATTGTTGACGCGCATATGCAATGCAATGTAATGCAGATGAAACTTCCCTTCACGGGTTGCATTGCACGGCGAGACGCGCAATATGAATCCACTGAATAGAATAACTTTCATTGGTCGGCATGAAGGGAAAATAGACTGCCCTTTGGCAAATAGGGACATCGCGAAGATGGCCAGCGGAAAGAGCGAATGGTAAATGGGCAAAATTTACGCCCAACAATCCACCAGGCCCGTGCGGTTCAATGTGGTGATGGTCTCAGTGTCCGTGAGCCAAGTGTGAGTGCTGATTTTCTATTTTTGCAGTCTAGTGTTTAATCTGATAGAGTTTGCCCTTCAATGTACATGCCTAGACAGTATCTAATATTGTTGATGGAAGTGGAACTGCGACACCAGTTTTATTTGTTTCAACGTCCTTCGATCGTGGCTTCATGTGTTCATCGATATATTGCAAATATCATAGTATCCTTTCATGCCGTCCATAACGAGAGGTTTGGCCACAAGTATACAGCATCGGTAAGAGAGGGGTCGAGCAAGTCAAAATCGGCTTCTGGCTGGGCTAGGAACTCTTCCATGCTCTCTCCTAGGAAGGCCATGTCGTTCGCAGGGTCTGTCGGTACAGTGGGGTCAGGAACCCCAGAAGCAGAAGTATTACCGAAAAGCCCAAGCTGGTTAGGGGCGATGACAGCAAGAGGCTCAGTAGAGCTCTCTACAGCTCGAGACGGATCACTCTGGAAATGGCCGCCTTCTGATCCTCTCTTCTCATTCAAGCACTGCTTGACGCATTCTAAATTATCGTAAAATTCGGTCGCAGCAAGATTCCCGTGGCTGCTCATTGCCCGTAGAATTTCGAAAGCTGCCTCGAACAACGCAAAATCATTGCTATTCTCAGGGTACACCAGACTGGAGATTACCATTATCAATGCTGAAGAGAAGAGATAGTGAGCATAGAAATATCCAAAAATTGGGACTGATGCGTTGGTCCATTCCTCCACGATCAGCAAGTGGGTATGTCTTGCAGCGTGAATACACGCATCGCTAAGTGCTTTTAAGGTCTGGCGTATGTTCGCCTGGGAGCTATCCTCAGTAATGGCCTCTGGGGACGTAGCTTGGATCAGCGCGTGCAGAAGGACCGGCCGACTGGCTAGCATTATACACTGCATTTGATTAGCGGAAAATCCACTCCAGGCTAGGCTATCCACTTACCTGGTTGAATTGAAGATGCAGCGATATAACATTCATCGGAACGGGACCATCGCGGCTGAGCCGAAGCTGTGGGGGAAGAGCACAGCTCCACTCCTTGAGAGAGATGAGCAGCTTTTGCTCCCGCTGCAAGAAGGACTCTGGAAACACTTTTCGGCTGTACACACGGTCAATGACCTGACCGGTGATCTTGGCCAACTCAATACTAGCGATGAGGAATTCAGTGTCGGAGGTATGATCGTTGTGAATATCGCCAGGTACGTTCGATGGCATGTCAACGTAGATGTCCGCGTCGGAAATTTGAATCGGCCAGCCGACCTTCGAGCCGTACATTCGGTCGAATACATATATTGCCCACCATAGTCTGGTCCGATGCTGACGCCGCACAGGGTCCGGGCACTTGCTTTCTGGGATATTGTGATTCAGACCCACAGTCAAGCCTAGACGCATAGCGCTGCCGACCAACAGAAATGCTGAATGGCGTCGGTTCAAGAAAAACGAATACAGTGACTACAAGCGTGAGTACATAAGCCATGTCTAATGGAAGTGGTACATTTCTTACCAAAAGTAAAAGGGATTCAATATGTGCCAAGCTTGGGCGTTCCGGTAAGATGGGTATCGTCGTCATCGCATTCACATAATAAGCCACGCCAGGGACGTTGCATTCAAGGCTCGGACTTGACCGGGCAGAATATACTTCTCCGAGAGCGAAGAGAGCAAAAAATTTACACGTTAACACGGGATCGTCAAAGTTACCCTCACGATAGGCCTCCTCGAGCTGGTCAATCGTCGACTTGCGAAGAATCAAATGATACACCCGCGTCACCTGATTGGACACAATCTGAATCAAAAGCCGAGCTTGGGCCAGGTTTGGCCATGGCATTGCGGGATTGCGTATTTTCATTAATGTATCTTCTGGCGTGTATTGTGTCCGAGGCATGTGAGAAGTGGTCTCGCTCTTGGTAAGAACTTTTCGGAGCCTGGTGGCGAATGCCGTGCACGCTGCCTCACAGACGTGGATTGGTGGTAATGAAGGGTCATGTGGTAGAAACCATGCCCTCTCACCGAGCATTGGATTTCGAACATGTGTATCTGCGTCTTGTTCGGGTACACCTAGAAAAGGGCGTAAGTCGGAGTCACTGGAAGGATTAAAGAAACACACTTTCATCGTGCGCTTGGTATTCTCTTGGCGTTAGGAAACTAGGTGATTGTGATAATTGAGCACGCAAGCGCTGGTTTTCTGCAGCCAGTTCCTCAAGATAACTGGAATATTTAGTCTGGTAACGGAGCAAGCCAGGCCTAGTGAAGCATGGAGCATACCTCTCGTGCACTTTAATTTGACGATCTCGATTGACGTAGTGGCATTCGGCAGGGCAGCCAGCCTGCCGACATTTAAGACACGGCTGGTCACCAGTGCATTTTATCTTGTGTGAGTGGCATCTCCGGCACCTTGAGATGTTACATTAGCAGGTAGACTCGGAGATGGATTCTCCAGGACTTACGCGATGGACTTCCTTTTCTGTTTTCTGATGGCTGTATCACTGGCGGGTATCTTTGATGAGGACTTCATATTTAATGTAGCAGATATGATATCTAGGAGATGTATGTACGGGGTAAGGAACGATTTGGAAATTTTGCTGGACGTCTAGCGGCGAAATTTCATGTTGCCGAGCCAATCATCGTCCAAGATTCGACCTACGTAGATAATATCTACAGCACAGAAGAGTGGGAACTATCTAAACTAAAACGAACGAAATAGCCCCTTATAGAAATAATCAAATAATGAAAATGTATTATGTGAATAAAAAACAGGATGTACTTGCATTTCCCTGAATGTGAAATATGCAAATATCTAGATTTGGAACGGCGCAAATATTTGGTAACACAAAGTGTATACTATTCAACGAAGTGCTATAGAGAACACAATGAAGGATCTCTATGGAGAGAAAAGTGTGTACATTGAATGCGTAGCGGAGCAGGTAGTGGACAGGAAAGACAGAAAGGAAGGAGAGAGGAGCGAGGTGAGATTTAACTGGCTAAATGGTCCTGAACCAATAGGGGCTGGGGCCAACAACTACATACTGCTATGTGGTAAATGAGCACAACGTTCACCGTACTAACCTGCAACTTAATCCTAGGTTGTTTTATAGTGACGAGCTGCTAGGGTCATGGACTCTTCACTAGACGAAACAGAAACGGCAACATTGCTTTTCTTGCAGGAGATTATCCCAGAGAGACATAAGTGGGAGAATAGACCCTCAATAAACTTACCTTGTAATTCCAGAAATTTTATCTTGACCTTTGGTTTATATAAACAGTAATCTAACACTATAGTTATGTGAGCATGAAGTTTGTTACACAAAGTATTGGTATTGGCTCTTGATCTGAACGATGAACATATTTCAGGTTCGATCTTAGTATAATTTCCAAATGCCATGTTGCACAAGTTCCAATGACGTTGAACAATGAGACTTGTGAGTCTGCAAAACCTGCCAATAATGCAAGGGGTGATTACACTAATCGCCCAAATTCGTGGGTTGCGTACGTCGTACACCCTATGTTGTCACCATGTGATATGAAGTAATGCATACTAGGGCAATCATCGGCTAGATTTTGGTTAATACTTAAGCATCTTCAGTGGCCCATCTGGCAGTTGGTCTATATACTATCAACTCTGAAGGAGATATGGACATGATACGCGAATCACCTCTTGGTTACGAGCGATTACCGGGAATAGGATTCTACTTTATCCGGAAGAAAAGCCCGGATTTGCTTTAGTGGCAAATTTAGAAGAGAATGGACGCCAGATTGAATCCGATCGAAGTCTTAGTGACTCTCCCATAACTCTAGCACCAACTTCGTACTTCCCGCCGGGTGCGAATTCAGATCCAGCACACACACATAATGAGACAAGAAATATAGTATATTGGTACGGACCAGATGATCCATCCAACCCGAGAAACTGGTCGTCATGGAAGAAAAGACTTGTTACCTTTCAGATATGGTACATATCACCTTACATTTTAACTCTTCATGAAACAGTTTGTCTAATTCTTGATAGTTTATACACCTTCGCCATATATTCTGACTCGTCGATATATGTGCCAGCTGAGTCGTAAGCTCGCAATCCCACATCAAGACTTGCGCCATAACGACTGATTACCCGACAGCCAAATAATGGAATATTTCCAAGTCAGTCAAACGAAGGCTTCATTGGGGTTGGCATTATATGTGTTAGGATGTATGTTCCGACTACACCTTACACCGGTAAGTCCTAACTCGTCGTTCTTACAGATGGCCTCGGTCCGTTGCTCTTCTCGCCCTTAAGTGAGGTTCCATTATATGGTCGTAATATCCCGTATATTACCTCCTTCATCATCTTTATCGTGCTATGTGTCCCCACAGCTTTAGTGGACAACTACGCCGGACTTATGGTTCTGCGGCTTCTTCAGGGCTTTTTCGGGAGCCCCTGTCTGGCAAGTGGTGGTGCCTCAATGGGAGATATGGTTCGTGCAAAAGATGCCTCTTAGTGTGGCAGGACATATTTCTTCTTCTGCTAGAACTGATCAAATATCGGATGATAGTACTCGGACATTTACTTACCGCTAGGACTGACTAGCTGGGTTGCTGCGGCGTACGGTGGACCAGCTCTTGGTCCGGTTTTGTCCGTTTTTTCAATCGCCGAAAAGGGGTGCGTCTTCCAATCGATACTGCGTGTATCATACCAATGGCTGATCATGATGTCAGGTGGCGATGGGCAATGTGGGAAATTCTTTGGATGAGCGCACCCATCCTTATCCTTATGGCCCTCTGTCTTCCAGAGACATCGGCCGACAATATCCTCCTCCGCCGTGCACAGCGACTACGCAGAGTTACTGGGAACTCGAACCTTTTCTCGCAGTCAGACATTGCACAGAATAGTCAAACATTTTACAACAGACTCCTTAATTCTCTAGTGAAACCAGTCGAGATAATGGTTAAAGACCCAGCCATCCTGTTCGCCAATGTCTACACCTCCCTTGTTTATGGAATCTATTACTCCTTCTTTGAGGCGCTTCCGTTGGTCTATCCTGCCAAATACGGACTTGATGCTAAGGAGATTGCGTTAATCTTTATCTCAATTATTATCGGCTGTGCGCTTGGAGCTGTTGTCTATATTAGTCATCTTTATATCAGCCTTATGCCTGATCTAAAAGCCAACGGTCAACGTCCACACGAGCACCGCCTACCCCCTGCTCTATTCGCTTCTTTCGGTCCACCTATCGGACTTTTCATCTTCGGTAAGCAGAAGAAGCCCTTTCAAGGTCTGCCCTATGCTTCAAACCACGAGATTAATTTTATGTCGTTTAGCCTGGACTACCGATGGAAATATCCATTGGGCTGTGGGCGCCCTCGGTATTGTCCTATATTCAGGATCTGTCTTCGTTATATTGCAATGCGTACTTGTCTACCTGTCGCTTGCGTACCCGAAGTACGAAGCTTCACTGTTTGCCGGAAATGATATATCACGATCTGCTGTCGCGTTCGCGTTCATCCTTTTCTCGCGATTCATGTTCATCGACCTTGGTATTGACAAAGGGGTGACTCTCTTAGCTGGCTTAAGCATCCTGGGAATTGTAAGTCTCCTCTTATTTAACATATGCCGCAATTGGATATGATGGTACATTTCCCATACTAACTTGTACCCAAGATTGGCGTGTTTATTCTCAACTTTTGCGGTGCAAGTCTCCGTGCTAGATCTAGCTTTGCAGAGCATAGCTAATTAGAGGGTGGCGATGACTTTCGGCTTTACTTTCGGCTTTACTTTTTGAAATATATCAAGGTCGGTGAGGTGACTAGTTCGTGGTCTCGGATATAGTATACTTCTTTTGAAAATAGGAACTTAACTTGAAAATTAGAATATCTGATTATCCATTTCTTCTTAAGGCAAATTGAAAGACATAGGCTGTTGAGGGAAAGTATGATCCAACTGCGCTACAATATCATCCAGTGAGGGATTGTTCCACGTAGGTGACATCAACGCTAAAGGATCGATAAATGACTTCGGAGTCTCAAGGTATTCAAGTTCTCCTTGGAAAAATTCTGGTTCGTAGTGTCGTTCCTTGCACCTATCCATTCCGCAAGCTAGAATCCAAATCAGTCAGTACACTTGATGTAAACCCGGAAGGATTCTACATACCAGAGTCCTGCTCTGAGTCTCGCTCAATTGAATTACATAACTTGTGGAACTGTCTGGCCAAATGGGCTCGTGACTTCGCGACAAATTCGACCGCTGTCGCTCCATGTGAATCAAGAATGCAATTCATTTCTTCCCTCACACTGTCGGTATCCCAATCCAGACGGCCAGCCAATGCATGGCCTATTGCGCTGGAAACACCACATGAACTGTCTTCAGTAAGGCCCACTTTTACCGCCTGATATTTGTGCATTGTTTGTCCGGCATCGTGAAACTGTGGCTCTGGCTGCTCCCAGGCCTTGGAACTATCCGCATCGTACCTCTCACTTGGCTCTTCAAGGGTTGCGGTGAAGCCGTTGTCCAGCCCAATCTGCGATAGATTGAGAAAGTTTGAGGAGGAAAAGGTCTTTGGCCATCGGAGAATTTGCGGAAGACAAATGACTAAATCCCCTGGCTGTAGCACAATCTCTTGAGCTTCACCAAATACTTTGTATCCATTTCCGTACTTCAATTCCAATGAGCTCTGCAGCCATTTCAATTGGCGATGGAACCCTGGGACCAGTCGGATTTTTTGTGTGGTCTCACATGTCGGGAAGATGACAGTACTCTGGATGTCGCTTGTGTCTTCTCCTTGAACCATTGACTTAATACGGTCGACTGGGACGCCGAATCCTACATCGTCGTTTTGGAAACCAGTGCGTTGTTGATATTGGGCCGGGCGATGAATGAGTTTCGAATTTCGGTCCGGTCTGCATGCGACGAGAACAGCATAATACGCTGGATCCCGTTGTACCATTTGAGATAGCATCCTGTAGCATCGCTGAATCATGTTTTGGCCGAGCGTGGAATCGTCTTCTTTAATGCCGCTTCTGTTGAGGTACTTTCTGACCCGTTTGAACACGCCAAGCTCTTCCATGTAGGAAAAGAAACCAGGAATATGGAGAAATCCATCTCTTTGCCAACGCCACCAGGCATCGGCAGACCCCGTATAACGAGAAAGCAGCTCCGTATTTGAGCAAAGGTTGGGACCAGAGATAGATGGGTGATCGCCTATCAATAACCATATTTAGCAGATATTCGACAGCCACTGAGATCTCATGTATCAGTCAACAGAGACATTGTACGTACAGATGGAACTATGGCATTCACGCGAACGGAGGGCCTCCAGACTCTGAATTACTTCAGTCCTAGTTCTATCACAGGGATCGTCTCCCAGAATAAACTGGGCAAGTCGCATCAGGTGGTCGGAGCAAAAGCTACCCCACGATATTGTATGTGCCCAGTCCACCAATGCCGCCAGAAGCCTCTTTCCGAGCCTCGCTTCAGGAGGCGAGATTAGGGCAATCAGTGGCAAGCATATTGGAATACATCCACAGCACAGCCATTCGTTTGCCTCTTCGCTTGTTCGTGACCCTTGTGTAGGCGAGACTCCCAACGAGAGCGGTGTGTTGGGGAGGGACGATACTTCTGAATGGATGGTGGAAGATGAGGAGCCAGCCTGAGCGACACCATCGGTGCCTTTGTGCCGAGCCGAGCTTGAGGAGATTCGGGAATTTTTGGCTTGGGATGCTGTAAGCGATTTCGTTAGAGATCTCAACTAGAGAACACCATAACTTACATTCCCGTGTTGCTGAGCGTGTCTGTGGTATCCCCAGACTCTCTAATGCCCGCTGAACATCACTTGCCATGAGTCGATTCGTAGTGCGTCCACGTTCTGGTCTGTGTTTCATGCTGTCTTCGAGAAGTGAGACAGAGTCCAGATGACCCCTGTGCTTGCTCAAACAGGCTATCAATGAAAGCAAATGTTTGCTCCAAGTTAATGGGCGAGTATTTATCGGAAGAGCCTTGTCATAGGGAACATTCCAGTAGCGAAAGATCGTTTGGATACTTGATCGTTTCGCTCGCTCTGATTTCTTTTGTCGCTGTACAATCGGTCGTACAGTTTCCGTATATCCGATGGCCTTCCGGTACTCGCTAAGGCTCTCGTACCTCGTAGACCAAAGATCATTCTCGCATATCCAGTGCCAAGCGGCGCTGATAGATGAAGCAACGCGCTCATTGATTTCGGAACTCCGTGTCAAAAGCTCAGTCAACACATCCAAGTGCTTATGCTCTGGTTTGTCATGTAATAGAGTTGCGATAAATGCTTCGGAAGAGGATTCTGTGTCGCTCGAAAGATCTCGTGCTACATGATCCATGTTGGAATATTAGAGTTATCGATCTTCGTGAGACCTAATGTATGTGGTTTAATAGTTTCGTTTGGCTGCTTTGCTCTTAAAGACAATGTGCCCGTGTATATACACACATAACTTCAACTCAATTTGGGGCATTCTTTCCCTTCCTCGTACTCTCCGCCTGACTATCTGCAGGGCACTTATTTGAGTTGCTACACACGTCATGTAGTGGTGGGCGGTGGTTGCCATCTACAACGAACCATTCATCAGGGAAAATCTCTGTGGTAATATATCCGGTGCTATTACGTTTGGTTGCCCATAAAGACGACGAATGTATGCCGACCAAAACTCTTCCAAGGCTGGAATGAAGTCTAACAAAATAGACATACTTAGTTCACCGACACTTCATACCAGACATGAGGGACATTCTGATGGTTCTTGGGCTGATGCATCCCGGTCAGCCGTATATTACCTCCCATAGATTCAGGCTATTGAAGAGGAATGGGGGATATGAACCAACAGATGCTAGAATCCTTGTCTATTACTTAGTTTCACGACACGGGAGACCCGGAGCTATGCGCACGCTAGCTTCCGAAGTGGATATATCGACACTGGGGGCAAGAAGTGGTGCCACCTTACTGCATTAGACTTACTCTGGCATGGTGGTTCTATGCGGGTCAGACTGTGAGCTCAGGCCGGTAAGGATATTTCCAAGCTTACCAAGCCGCGTTCCCCTTTTTCCTACTGCCTTTGATTGTATTTACTGCCACGCCACGGACATCTATTCTAAATCTTAATGTCTATTCCATGCTTTTGTGAATTGCATGCTTCCCTAGTGGAGCAGAAGCGATTGTGGTTGATTGCATGTTAATACATAGACGTACTAGTATTATTCTCGACAAGAAAAGGTTCCTTTACCTGCTTTATGTGCTACTTGTTTCCCTTATTTTCCATTCCTCGACAAAATACAACGCTGAAGCATAAGGTGCGATATACTTTGCGATATATAGATGCATCAATCAGAAGGATAGATTAATCTAGATCTAACATCAGCGGCACCATGTTGCTAGTAGGTTTCCTAATGATGACGGAGATATCTCTGATTCCCTTCAACCTCCTGCTTTATTCGTTAATCATATCACAACCGGACGCATTCTTGCGCGTCTCTTCACGCTGTTGACGCAAGGATGGTCCACTGATCTACATGCTACTACACCCAGAAAAGGAAAGCTACTTTCCTGTGTCCGTAACTTGGATGGCAATTTTCCATCTCTGTAGAGGGCACTGGCGTTCAAGGTAACACAGCTCGGATCACTTTTCTTGATCCCTTCCAATGTCATGGGTTTCCATTAAACAACAGTAGACCGCAGACCTACATCATGCTGCCAATGTATGAAGAAGTACTAGAATTCATCACGATATGCACTGCTCGTCAGCTCCTCATTGGTGGGACTAACTGCCCTCGCTACTCAATGCCCACAGGTGCATACTGCATATATGCGAGCTTCAACACCCCATCAATATTATTCTTCAAGTCTTTCGGAGATATGTTTGTTTGGGCTTGGTATTATATTTCCATATTCCTGTTGTGATAATACACCGACTCCGAAGCAATAAACAGTAACATTCGATTTATCTTCAAACAGTCGAGGTTAGATATATATTAATGCACATCCCAGAGAAGCCGAATCTTAAAGAACCAGTTATAACTATGTACAATCGCAAAACAAATTATGGGAATCATTCGAAAAGATAGTAGATATCATCTCACAAATCGTTTACCAGTGAAAGCTGAAGTAGAATGCCACAGGGAAACGAGAGACCCTAAGAGTATGACAGAATACGAGGGCGAGCCGTGCGTGGACGATGAGGCCGGACGGATGGATGACTTATCAATTTGGTTACCCGTGGACTTTCGGTTCAAAGTCTTTTGGCCGCATCATCAAATACTTGAATCGGTTCTTTTCTTCTCAGCTCCACTCGGGAAGATTTGCATTTGCCGACTACCTGGGTATCCTCCACGCCACGTAGACCGTGCTTGCTTCTTCCTGTGGTTTTAGAATGGAGAAAAAAATTCGAGAATCGGATCGACCCGGTGAATTTAGTGTCCGATATAAGAAGCATTCAGTTCGGGAAAATGATTTTTGACCGGCGCCTCCAAGCTACAATCGAACAAAGCTTAGTACTTAACCAATGCGTGCCGTAAGTAGGGGCTGGGTTGACGAAACGTACACACTTGCACGATGGAGTTCGCAAATGTAGAATTTGTTGTTAATAGCTCGTCTGACTCGCCAATTTTCAAAACCCACGAGACAATCCATGGCGAGGTCCTTTTTACACCTCATCAAGAAACAAACATTGAAGACATAAGTATCACATTCAAAGGTATGAGAGATACGGAAGCAACATTCTTATCGTGATATTGACCAGACCAACAGGCATGACGCGAGTCGAAGTTGAGAACATGAATACACATATTGCTCTGCCCTTCAACCAACTAGAGAGACGCTTCCTAAGCATGGAGTTGCCGATTTCCGACTACTTTGAGGATATAAGCACACTCAAATCTGGCAGAAATTATCGACTGCCCTTCAAGTTTATCATCCCCGAGGAACTTCCCATCCATGCCTGTCATCACCAATGCGGCAATAGCCAAATCCAACGAGAACATCTGCAGCTACCCGCAAGTCTCAGCTACCGTGCCACAAAATCACACGAAATCCATGACATGTCACCAGAAATGGTGGAAGTGGTCTATAGTATCAGCTTTTCGCTGTGGCAGCAAAATAGCAAGACAGGAAGGTCGAAGATCCAGGAAACAACCCATCCTGTGAAAATCCTGCCAACGCGAAACGAGCATGCCCCGATACTTATCCCAGGAAAGAATAAGTATTATAAACTGGGAGCAGAAAAGTCTCTGTCTACAGGGTTGCTGCGACATGCACGCGGCAAGTTCACTGCCTGCTCTACCCAACCACCGGCTATCCAGTTGCAAAGTCTCCAGCCAACGAATACAGGCGCATCAACTTCTCTGAAGATCGATCTTCGATTTGACCCTGCTCATTTGGGTCAGTTGCCACCAAGTGCTCTCGCCGCCGAATTTCAGTTGCGGGCAATGACATTCTTTGGGATGGAGGCATGGCAAAATTATCCAGATCTGACTGATATTTCGACATGGGGTTCACGACGAGACTTTTGGTCTGATTATGTGGCATTGACACCGATCGATGAAATAAAATTGGAGTGGAAGTCCCAAGACGAAGGGGACCGCACGATCTTCACCACATCGATTGAGCATTGTGTTTCACTGCCTACCCATCGGCGCTATCCACCTACTTTCCATTCGTGTTTAGTATCTCGGGTTTACGCCCTGAAGACAACTTTGTTCTATCGAGTACATGGAAAGGCTCTGGGTAGATCATCCATATCGGTTTCTGTTCCAGTGGAGATTTGTGCAACATGACGAGATACCCCGGCGACGGGAGTGTGCTACAGATTACCTAGGTATAGTGCATTTGCATTATATTGAATCGTTCAGGCCATGCCGTCCAACTGTCATGCCTATCCACGTGAAGCAGCTTTGGAAAGTGGTATCAGATACTGATGCATTCATGCAAGCAGTGCCTCCATGCAGTTTGTGGCAGATCTTCCTTTGCTCTTTGGTCTCCTTTTCTAGATTTTTCTAGGCTTTGTGCCTTTGTTTCCTTGTCCCACGAAGCTATATGGACGCAGGCTTCATGGAGTAGTTAGAGATCATCATCAGCATTCTATTGATTTATACTATTGTTGATCATCTCCCTCTCCAGTAGATCCGTACGACTGAGCCCATCAGGTACAATCCGTTCTCCGCCCTCTACCACAACGTCCTCTTGGATCAAGACTTAAAACTTCATCCTATTAGAAACAAATCCAGGCCCACATTCCTAACCCTTTGTCTACCAATCTTGTCACTTGAATGCCAGCGATCAACAATTCCGTCGCTGACGAGTCTCTCATTTGGGTCCCACCAACATTCCACGATCGACATGCCATCCTCGAACTGACATTCAGCCACAACAACCAATAGCAGCACCCCATTCCCACCTTACAGTTTTTGTCTACCTTGATTTTCTTGTCCATGGCCTAGCCTCGGCTATCTTCTTACACAATCAGCACCTAGACAGCCTGCCGATCGTAGTTTGAGTGGTATTCCAGTCCTCGGGGAAGTATGTACATGTGTCAGTGGTCAGAATTCCACACGCGGCATTTGACCGCTAAGGCCCCTCTATCTAGAGGATAAGTGCAGCTCATACCCCTAGCCCGTCTTTTGAAAGTTGGCGTTTACTTACTGCTAGCTGGTGAATTGACGCCCACCTTCAACTTACTACTCCGGCCGAATACATTGACTCCCTCATCGATTGTACACCCTTTCAATTCGGTACTCGATTTACTATTGTATACCCATTTGCGAAAGGTTGGTCTCTTCTCGGCCCCTCATCCGTGGACCCGATCATCCCTTGAATCATCCAATCGACCACAACACAACAACCAACGCGCCTGCCTTGGCTCGATAACACATCATACCATCATGGCTCTTGTTCGAGACCCATACTTTTGGAAACGGTTCTCAACTGCAGTCCACATGGACGAAGAGTCTAGAGCAGTTGACGAGGGAGCACAAACAAAACAATATGCGTAAGACATCCTCTTTCTCCCATATATTTTATAAACCTCAGCTCATCCCCCCAGGGCATCATGGTTATCCCAGGAAAGGCGGAAGAGCAGGCGTTCAATCATCTGGGGCGTTGTCATTTTCTTCGCTGTGGTGCTCGTCATCATTGTTATCAGCGTGGTTCTATGGTGGCTTTCTAAGAACAACTGGCTCCAACCTCGGCAGGATGTCACTAAATAACTAGCTTCCGCTAGTGAAGGTGTTTTTATTTGAAATTTGGCGTTAATTTGGAGTCGCATCACATTGGAGATATACCCGCCGCGCCTCAAAACGGCGTTTGGCATTTTGCTTACATAGCTTTTACATAGAACTGCATACAATAGACCATTTAAATCATAACCATACATCTCTATCTAGTCTATCTCGTTTTATCTTCTACCCCAACGCGATGTATAATATGCTTCACCTAATCTAGCATATACTTGCCGTAACAGGCATAGTCTGCCTGGGCTGTGGCTTCTTATCTTTACTGCGGTGAAATTGCCGCCAGTGGCTAGTCGCAGCATCTAGTGATCTTGTTCAACGTTAGCTATTTCGAAAAAAAAAAAGCAGACATCAGCCCAAGTAAAGAGTCTATATACATACATATATTATATACAAGTATAACTTACATCATTAAAAAGGGAAGGTTGTCAGGTGTCCACCGGCTAACCTCGGTGCTAGCCGTATCGCATTCTCCACTTCTCCAATTCCCCGCATCGTATAAGACCCCCCCGGCTTCCCCTTTCTCTTCTTGCACAACACCGACATTATGCTTCCTCCATTTGATTACTTCGCCTACCGCCGCATAAGGTAAGTTATTTATATTCTCTTGGATTTACATGATCTGGAGCTAATAACTACAGGAACCAAAAACAAAGCGAACGAGAACTTCGCTTTACGGGTCTTCCGCACCACTATCATCTCCGAATTGCCGCCCAGGACCGAAAGGTCATTGACCAACCTATCGAGGAACTTGTTCACGATGTCCATGACTCGGCTGTATCCCCACTCGATATCCTCCGCACGTATGGAAAGGTAGCCAAAAGGGCTCAGGAGCGGACCAACTGCATTACCGAGGTGATGCTGCCCGAAGCCGAGTCGTGGTTGGAGTCGGAAATCAACCTGAAGGGTCCATTGGCAGGTATTCCAGTCTCTCTTAAGGATTCTATCAACGTCAAGGGATTCGACACAAGTGTTGGGTATGCTGCTCTGGCTGGAAATCCTGTCTTGGAAGATGGGCCTATGGTACAGCTCCTGAAAGACGCCGGTAAGATCATTATTCTTAATACAAGTTCTTTGATAGCTGGATTGCATACTAATTTCTACAGGGGCTGTCCCATATGTTAAGACTGCTCTGCCAATCACGCTGCTCTCTTTTGAGTCATCTAACGGCCTCTGGGGTCAATGTCGCAACCCGCATGTCCCAGCGTACTCGCCCGGTGGCTCAACCGGCGGAGAAGCAGCATTGCTGGCACAGGGTGGCCGTATTGGTATCGGATCTGATGTCGCTGGCTCCGTTCGCGTTCCGGCCGCCTGGAGTGGTATCTATTCGCTCCGCTGCAGCACTGGCCGTTGGCCCAAGGGCGGCGTGAACACCAGCATGCCCGGCCAGGAGGGTATTCCTAGTGTCTTTAGTCCTATGGCCCGTACCTTGGATGATTTGACCTACTTCACTCGTGCAATTATCCGCATGGAGCCCTGGAAATATGAGCACACTGTGCACCCCATTTCCTGGCGCAGCGAGGTGGAGTCTGAGGCTCAAAACAAGCCTCTTCGCATTGGTCTGATGACCTCAGATGGTATGTATCAACCGCCCTAACCTCACCCCAAGAATAACGTTCAGTTACTTACAAATCTCCAGGCGTCGTTCCCCCGACTCCAGCCATTGAGCGTGCCATCGCGACGACAGTGGCCGCCCTCAGTGAAGCCGGCCACACCGTCTCAGAAATCACCACCCCACCCAACGCAGACCCCTTCACAGGCCTGAACCTCGCCTCGCAACTCCTCAACTCTGATGGCTGCCACCACTTCAACGCCAAACTTAAGAGCTTCGAACCCTCCGACCCAGGCGCCATCCAACTCTCCCGCATCGCTCACCTCCCGCGCCCGCTCCGCTACCTCTACTACCTCTACGTGCGCTACATCCGCCGCGACAAGGTCTCTGCCACTCTCATCCGCGACTTCGGTCCCAAGTCTGCCGCCCAACTGTGGACCCTGACCGCTCAGCGCGAAGCCTTCCGCGCCGCCTGGCACAAGTGGTGGGACGCCGAGCCCCAGCAATTCGATTTCATTCTGTGCCCCGTCAACGCTACCCCGGCTCTCCCGCACAAGGCCATGCACGATGCGGTCTCCTCGTGCGGTTACACCTTCCTGTGGAACTTGCTCGACTATTCCGCCGGTGTTATCCCCGTCGGACACGTAGACCCTATCCGCGACGCCCTCACCGCACCCTATAAAACAGCCCTCAACCGTCTGGGCTGTGACCATGGCATTGCTCGCGGTGCGTGGAAACACTACGACTCGGGCAAGATGGCTGGCCTCCCCACCGCTGTGCAGGTCGTCGGTCGCCGCTGGCAGGAGGAGCACGTCCTTGGTTACATGGCTGCTGTGGAGAAGGCACTAGAGCAGTATAAGGATCCTCAGACCGGTGAGAGCTGTCGCTATACCCTCCTGGAAATTGATTAAGTCGGACTAGCCAGCCGTGCGTTGTTCGACGGGGATGTCTGCCGGACTAGCATATTATAGTATCTCCCTAGATTACCCGTTATACATGGATGCAGTTATGTAGCTAGTTCGTATCTGGTATAGTTTCATATGTTGTTATAGGATGATTGGGCTCCTGGAGCCGAGACAATGAAATTCGAGTTCTTCCCGAATATTTAATTCCTTCTCTTTATCTTTCCCGTTCAACTGCTCCAGTCTGCAGTGTAACCATGCTACGCGTGTTGATGTTGGGGCTACTTGTTGGTAGATCGTCTCTGTGGGGATTATTCTTCTGGGTTTCATCCGCGTCGATCTGCACGGGAAAGTGTTGGGTTATTGTCGATCTGAGTAATTTTACGCAGTTCCACTGTCTGGACTCGACCACTTTGCATTTGCGTTTTCCAACCGTCCAATCATCCAATCGTCCGTATGCCCCCTCTACCCACACGTTCCCCTCCAACGTCTGCCTAAATACTCCGCACTTCGTTAATATTAGTACAGAGGCCATGGATGTTCTAATGAATTAAAAATCATGCGATCGACGATGTAACCTTGGAACCCTTTGCTTTTTCTTAGTCAATGCAAACCCTGTATGCTGTCAGAACGCGCTAACCCTAACCACCCCCTGTACGGAGTACATGTATGTATCATGCTGTCATGTCAGACTACGCCACGCTACTTAGCTGTGCATTGTCTAGACTCGCTAGCCTTTCTTCAAGTGATATAATTGGTCCTATTCGTCTATCTTCCCCGCTGAGGTTTGGAATCGCGGGGCTAAACATGAGAGATATTCGGCTCTGCGCATATTCGGACACCGGAGTTAACCGGGGTTCGAGTCATGAACTGTGGGTTAGCGCACCCCGAGCAGGGTTCATGTCTTTATCCTCGATGCCTACAGGTGGAAAATGTCGCTGAAGAAGTGCCTGCATTAGTCGGGAGGTATACGGAGTACATACATAGTAATTGTTGGCTCGTTGGCTGGAGCGTTCGGCTGAGGAGAGACCGTGTTGATAAGTAGTAGCTCACTAATTGGGTCTAGGTGAGCGCGCAGCACATATTGACTCATATTTCGGTTAGCTCGCATCATGGAGATAAACGAACAAGCTCTACAATAAGGCCCTGGAAGGAAAAGATGCTCAAAGACTCGGTGGATCAGCTTGACTGCACAAGGACGCTAATTGTACGTAACAAATGGATTCAGTTTGCCTCTATCTAGACTATATCGAACATGTGGTGTTAATGTTTCCAGACTGTACAGAATAGACTGAGACCCTCTCAAGTCAACTCGAATTTGCCACTCTAAGACAATTAACCTCGCGATCGACGGGGATCCATCAGATCCACTTTTTTGACTTCTTTTCCGTATATCCGGACTGTCAAAAAAGGTTAAAGCCCGTTGGACTGATATTTCCGTCAAGCTTTGACATATATAATACTGTAATAATAGCTGTTCCGTGCCACTGCCAAGGTCCAGTTTCACCTCTGGCTGATAGAATTCGGGAAATGGCAATACAAAATATGTGAATTAGTCCGGCATTCTGGATCATTTCCTCTGGAGCCATATGGAATGAGGGGATATTACTCGGGCTGGGCCAAGAAAAGGAGAAAACCCCGCGCATAGCACTTATTATTGGCAGTCTAATGCAGAAGACTCCACTGGATCGTCAGTAATGCACGTAATAGTAATCTAAACCTTTGGATGGAATAAACCAATTAATACCATGAAATGATAGAATAATAATAGAATAAAAAGAAGATAAAAAGGAGGATAGTCGGCCAAAAAGTACGAGAGTTGATCTGCGGTCACGGGGGCTCCCGAGCTTCTCATTTCCTCTTTACCCTTACTTTCCCCACTCCAACACCTTCAAAGAAGCTCCCAAATTCACAAAGCCTCAGACAGAAATGGGATGATCCAGAGCTCTGCTTTGTTAATATCAATGCCCACCTTTAAAACTCTATTCGGGATTCAACTTCTCTTCCCCTTCTGAAGATCATGCAGGGTCTAGCTATCACATACATCTCTCGCCGCTTACCGAGCCGGTGATATGATCTGAAATGGCGCCAAGAAAGAAACAGCCCGCCAAAAAGAAGGATGCCATCCATTTCGTCAATGCCAGACCCTCCACCGAGACCGAACGATTGAAAGCCCAGCGTCTGGTGCGTGCGCATGTCGGACGCTGGATTTCAGAGACAAAGGACCGATCCGCAGGCGAATCCTCCAATCCGCGCGCCCGAGCTGTCCGCAATGCTGTTCCCCCTTTACCCGTCATTGACCGTGCCGGTCCTGGTCCATCCTCTTATACTCTCGTCTCGCGCCCCTTAAGCTCCCATCGTGGGAGCAATCACGGTCAAGGCCTCGTCTTTGTGCTCGACTCCCGCTCCGGCCAGGCTGCATACCGAGGGTCGCCGTTTCCGCCGTCTCACGCCAGCGATAGCAGTAGCAGCGACGATGCGAGTTCCGTCACCGGGTTCTCCTCAGAGGCGCTTGCTGTCATCCGGTTCAATGATCGCTCTTCTCCTGAGCGGCTTGAACGCAACCTCTCTGGTGTTATCGACCCGTTCGCCACATACCCCGCTCCGAGGAACTTCGAGCCAGATATGATCAACCTGTCAGAGCGGTATCTCACAGGTGTTGTCTGGCCGGGACTCGCTCCGCGGCCTCGACATGTCAAAGCTGCGGCTAATAAGTGGTTCGATCTGTCCATGGCGGACCCAGCTTTGTTTACAGCGTTCATGTTTGGTGCGCTGTGTCATCTCCGTGTACAATGGCAGAATAACTGGGTTCCGGGTACGGTATTTGGTCCGAGGGAACGTCGCGCGCTGCAGTTGTGTGAAATGGAATCGATCAAGCAGATCAACCAGGCTGTTCGCGACCCGAATCGCGCGGTCAGCGACGCTGTCCTCCTCAGCGTCATTTGCATGGCCCATCATCAGGCAGAGGAGAAGTCGGCACAACAGCACCGCAGAACACCATTTAATCCGCCTTTCCCGCGACTACAATGGATTGATGTCTACGGGTGTCTGCCTCCGAATATGATCCATATCAAAGGATTGTTGCAGTTGATCAAACTGAGAGGTGGCTTGGCAAATATCCCCACAGAGGGTCTGTCCGCGACAATTTCTTTGTATGTCTCGGTTCTTTATTGTTCCATATTGACTGTCCGTACTGACCACCCACAGCTCGGATATCATGAGCTGCAGTGTCCTCTGCATCCATCCATGCTTTGATTTCTGGCCCCTCGCCGATGACCGAGTAGGTTTGTCCGTCCAGGAACTGCTCGGCTTCAGCCCATCAGACGTCGACCAGGGATTCGCCCGTTTGCAGGAGATTGGCGCCACCCGGCAAATGGCAGAAGCTTTCCAAGCGGTGCACACTTATATCGGGATCGTCAAAGCGAGCCCGAACTCCACAAATGATGTTTCTCTGCTCACCGACCAACGCAATATAACTCAACATACTCTCCTCTGCCTCTCTCCGGCCTCAGACCTCCACGCCTTCTTCTCCCATCCCACGCATGCCACCACCTATGAAGCCTGCCGTCTAGCGGCACTAGTCTTCGGGGTTGGCGTCATTTTCCCAATCCCCGCACAGAACACTCCCCTCAATACTCTCGCGGGCCTTATCCAATCGGTCCTCCTCCAACCCACCTCTTCAGACCTGTGGTCTTCGCCATCCACACGTCTCCCTCTTATCTGGGTCTTGACCCTCGGCGGCATCGCAGCGAACGATGCCCCCGAGCGCGCCTGGTTTGCCTCTGCTCTAGGGGATATAACCCGCAGGACTGGTTTGCATTCATGGGCTAGCGTCAAATCAGTGCTCACATCCATGTTATGGTACGAGGCTGCCTGCGATACCGCTGCAGAGACTCTCTGGCAGGAGAACGCTAGCAAGTATAGCTATGCCATCCAGTGAGCATCCCAAATTCCACCATTGGGAAATTCTCCGAACCTCGGGAAGCGCGAATGGACCCGCTCCTTCTCCGGATCTGCCGTCAGCTGCAATGACGGAGACCAGCTTCCCTATGTCTCCCTCTCCCCACGTCCCTACCACCGTCCATCCCATATCATTCTCACTATCGTTGTCATCGTCGGTTTCCTTTGAAATGGATATATGAAACATACTGGGGTTCCTTCCCTTGGATACATACCATCGCAATCACCAGCGTCACGCTTCAGCTTGGACACGGGGCATACATAGATATACCCGCCGGTGCTTTCGACCACACCAGATATTGGTTTTGCATAAACTTGCCTAAACTCACCGGGCTGTGAAACCCGAACACTGTCACCTGAACCCCGGACCCGGGGCATTACTCTTTCTTCCTTTTTTGGATTGCACAAAATAAATGGATCCGCTTTTGGGTCTGGATTTGGATTATAATATCCCCTGACATGGTTGTGGCTTTCTCACGCCTTGTTGTCGCCTTTGGATGTTTGGGATACATCCGTATATAGTACATCTCTGTTTGGATCGGAACCATTAGAGACATAGTACATAACGTCGCAATGTTCTCATCTCTAGATTATATTCCATTCTTGCCATGTTTTGCTCGCATTAACGGTTGTAGGGACCCCCCAAATATGCTCATCTCTCCTATTCACACAATGGATACATACACATACGAGGTACCATGCTCATATCCAATCACATTCGTATTCAAGTTATTCAAATATACACAATGCAACCACACCACAAGCTAAACGTATTCCCTATCTCAGATAAAACCCAGGATATCAAGCCCCATACCCTCCCCCAGGTACTTCATTCCTCAACAGCGGCTCCCTCTCGCTAACATCCTGATACTGATCACCATCACCCCTCTTCCCACCTGCCAAAACACGCGTCTGATAAGCAACAAACCCAACAAGCCCACCTCCAACCCCTGCAACCAACACGGTAAGCCCAACATTAACAGGAACAGGATTCCCCCGCCAAACCCGCAATGTGAGCGCATCAAGCCCCGCCTGCGCAAAATTCCCAACACCAGCAAGACAGATAATAAGCCCGTACACCTTCCCAAACGTCGCAAACCCAAACACCTTAGCCGCGTAGTCTGACACAGCAGTGTAATAGAACGGTCGGTACAATACGAAGAGAATGATATTCCCATACGCCGCGATCGGATGCGGTATACAACCCAGCACGCCGATCATAGTTGCAAACATGACCAGGATGAATAGCACAGTGCGCGTCTGGAAAATGTCGAGGAATGTACCGATAAATGGGACGGAAATGAGCCCGCCGACTGGGAGGAGGATGTCGAATGTTGTATTTATTTGGGCTGCTGTCTCAGCGGAGAGAAGGTAGGTATATTGTGAGCGTAGCGTTGCGACAAAGTAGTTTATTCGTAGCATCATTAGGACTGTGAAGGCTGTTATTAGTGTGAACCATGGTGTGCTGAGTTGGTATAGTGCGCTGTGGCCGTGGAGAACGCCCCAGATTCCGCCGGGGGCTGGGTTGGGGGTGGTTGGTTGTTGTTGGTCCGTGTGGGTGTGCGGTGCTGTAGTTCCCTGGGTTGCTCCGGTGCGTTCGGTGTCGATGTTAGTGTGGAAGACGGAGTTGTTGATTGTGTTGCCGGACATTACGGATGCTGTGCCGTCCTCTAGTAGACCTTGGATTTGGCTGACGATGCTTTGACGACGGAGTCGTCTGTCCATACGCTGGCGCTCGCCCTCACTGCGGTCGCCGACCGTGTCGTCCACGCGATCGTGTATTTCGTCTGCGACTTGCTCTTCGGCTTGTTGCACGAGCTCGCCCGCAGTCTTGTAGGATGTTGGTGGCATTATGAAGATCTGTGCTGCGATGATGAAGACCGGCGCGACGAGATACGCCGCGAAGAAATTACTGACTGATACGAGGCCTTGGGTGTGTTCGCTTAACAGTCTGAAGAGCAGGAATAGAGCACTTGACGCATCGAAGGCGCCTGTCAGCATTGATAGAATCAGGCCTGATCGTGTAGGGAACGCGTTTGATAGATGGAAGGACGGGATGAATACGAATGGCCCACCCAGCGCTAGGAATAAGTAACCTGGGACGTATCCATCGAATGGAAGCTGGTTGGCTGTCCCGAAGAGTACTGCTCCTACAGCGAGACAGATACTACCGATGATCCCACACACTCGTGGTCCATACGCGTCTAGGATTGTTCCTACGGGCAGGGCTGAGACGTTGGTTACTACAGCGGCGATGGTGAACATCAGGTTTAGCCTGTTACATGTAAGTACCTAGGAAAGATCTTCAACCGCGAGAGGAACATACCGGATCTCCTGCCCGTAGCAGACATCGACATCTTCCTCGAGCTCCGCCCGGGAGCAGAGGTTGCGATATACTTTCTCACGAATAAGGACGGGCTTGAGAGCTGCAAAGCCGAAAACGACTCCAGCAGCCAGAAAGCAGTATACAACTGCCGTGCAAATCTGGGCTTTTACAAGTTAGTATATCCCTCTATATTGAAAAGAAGTACAATAATCATCAACCTACCAATCCTTCTAGCAGCGCTCACTTCATAAGCACCAGTAGTATCTGCCCAGGGCTGCTTCCGAGCAACGGTTGTCCCTGAATCCCCATGCACAGCCCGCTCGGCAGATCCGAACCCCTGCGCTGAAACAGAACCCGCACGTTCTCCACGGGTAGGCGTCGGAGAGCGACCCAGAAATGAGGGTCCGAAAAACGATGATCGCTCGTCGTGTGGATCCTCTGGGCTCTCATTCCAGCCTGGCCCCGCATACGGGTTGAAATTCAGTCTGCTGTATGTGGAGGGAAATGAAGATGACACAGATCCCTCCGGCAGATCTTGGTAGGCGTCCGGATCTGAATCCTCCGATTCGGGGTTGCTGAGAAAGGCCGCGCGGTTGCGTTCCCACCCTTCGAGGAAAGAGATGCGGTTTAGGGACATTGTTATGACATATATTAAACAACTGAGTTCTGTTTCACAGTAATAAGCAGAGCTGTATAATTCAAAGCTTTCCAGGAGCTACCTAGGCCAGGAGCTCTCAATGGAAGAAGATAAGAAACTTGGAAGTTGGAATAGCTTCAGGTCACACAGGGCGGTATAAGCTTATCAGTGCCTTGGTCAATGCTCAGGGGCGGGGCCATAGCTTCCAAGGTCTCAACAGTGTTCGTTGATAAGGTAACTTACGTTATGTTAGGATGTTTTTATGAAAAAGTGTTTATCAGAGATGAGTGGCCAGGTGAAATAAGGTAGATTACATAAATTGTGTACAAGTCTAATCGACTGCGTAGTCTCTGGCGTGTTCCCCGATAACCCCCTGTACTCCTAGATCAAGTCCTGGATCAAAATCTATGCCATCTCGTAGATGTCGATGGAAGTGAACACTGTTAAAAGGGCCAAATCGCAAGGAAGCGCCTGGTAATCATGTCGCCTTTAATTCTTTCCATCACGATATAGGTGGAACCTCGATCCGTAAATGGGCACAGCACCTTGGGAACTGGGATAGAGGTAGTCTGTGAGATGAAACGCATGGTCGCTGCCTCGGATAGATATAAGCGCGGTCCGTATCTGTCGCATTCGCATAGTCGATCTGTCAACATAAGGACGCTTCCCTTAAAAGGGTCGGAAAGCGCGACGCACGTGACATGAAATTGTTCACGAACGAGTACATAAGCAGGGCAACTGTACTTGAAACCTCACTGTACAACATACATATGTAGCGAGGTGAATCGACTCTGAATCCCCGGGAACTAAAATCGGCCCGATGATGCTCCCCACAAGTGCCGAAATAAGTCGCGCCAGGGGTCAACAGGATATTCGTGTTCGGATCGAACAACTCCTAGTGAGTCGACGCGAGAAAACGCGAGGGATCGAACTAGAGGAGACGGACTGAAATCCCTGGAACGACGACCCTAAGAAAAGCAACGGAGCGAGATGTGAAGGTCATCACCCACCACTCTCGTAACTTCTCTCTCTCTTTTCCTCTTTCTCTTCCTCTTTCTCCTCCTCTTTCTCCTCATCCCCACGACGCATCCTCCTTTTCCTTTTTCCCACTTAGCCTAATTGACGGAAGGATGAATAATCAAGTGGATTGTCGTGGCAACATTTGGCCGAAACAGGCAGCTGACAACAAAAAGACCCCCACATCCACGGATATTCAGATGTAACGTGCCATTTCTTTAGTTGGACTTTTCGGATTTAACTTTCATCAGCGATTGGGATCGCCTGGGAAATATCTCCAAGATCGACAGGGTTCGACTCCAAAGTACCTTTTCGGGATCTGGATCGAACATTTTTCATCGACCCACGACCTTCCATGGAACGCAGCGTTTGTCAAGTCCTATGTACGGAAATTCCTAGTACAATTGTCAAATAATAAGAAAGTCCCTGTGAAAGATCTATCTCACTGGTTTAAGGTGCCTGAACCAGACCCGGTGAGACCAATATTGGCAAATGAAAACTGGGACTCGAATGACCTCAGGGGACTGGTATACAATGTGAGAACCCCTCTATAATAATAATAATACGACCCCGCCTAATTCTACTTAATTCTACCTCATGCCTCAGGCCTTAATATATTCTGCCGGATCCTTTTGTTGCACTTTCGAATTCTGGTTTACATAGTAAAAGATGCACCTTTCGAGTTAGAAGAAGAATGCTCATTTCCATAGAGTGCTTTATAGCAAGTAAATTAATTTTGTCAGGAATTTACATACAATTTGCAGGTATCTGCTGTCTTGCTACTATTGTATGGGCAGTTCGACACTAAGGCGGTGTAAAAATTGGAATGGCGGTGAGGAAGGTGGTGAGTTCCACTGAAAGATCAGGCAGGTCCCATGACAGAGAGGGGTATACCAATCCCTAACTTCAACGCGAATTTTCTTCCTAGTTTCCTTCCGAAGCTTAGTCCAGCACCTTGCACATCCTTTTTTATTGCGACAAAGCACGGACTTATACCGATTAATGCCGATTATCCCGGTTTGGATGGAGACAATCCCCTTTTCCAACTTCATGTCATTGGCTGACGTTTCCATCCAAACCACGAGTCCTTAATATATAGCCACCTTTACTCCATACTTTGCAGAGATAATTGAAGACTACGGAGGATGTCGAAAAGAGGAAAAAGGGAGTCTCGGCCAACAGTAAACTCACTCCATATCCCGGCCAAGTCTCATGCCGAGAACCCGATTCAAACCGAACCCGAAGGTGGAATGTGACATGTCCCCAGGATCTTTTTCGGTAAACGATCGGAGCCTTTTGATCAAATTTAGCCTGATACGTGGGGTAGCCGCTCGCCCAATTAGGACCAGCAGATGTCTGCCGAGATACTCGCACAGTGGAAATTATTAGAGCTTTTAGCCCTCGAGGGCACGAAGCGTTTTCCACTTCAGGTTATCCCTATGAGACTTGAGCCAATTTCCAGTTTGAAACCCGCTATTCGCCATTTCAACCACTGTTAGCTCTGCTCTTCTCAAACTATTCTCCATTAAACCCACGTACGGAGGTTAGCCGCTGGTCCTCCCCAAAAAAAGGATACGCAATTCGTTAGCGATCTGCCAATTAGTTTGTACCCACCCCATGTCGACTTCTGGACGTTGGTCCTCCAATGGTCATCGCTATGAATGAGTTTGTTAGTCGGACTGGGTTACCTTATTTACTTATCTAAATCTCCTGGCATTCCAAATATGCTTTCTGGAAGCTTTCCTTGTTTGCGATTGTACTTTTCGACTGCGTAATGAGGGGATGGTCAGTCGTTTTGTTTATAATTCGTCGCCCGTATTCGGACCCCGACTAACCCGCCTGTTTAGCCTCACATGTCGTCTGCGCCATCTCAAATGTATGTCGATGGGTTCTACAATCTCTTCCGGCGACTAACAGAAATAGGTGACAAATCCGGTTCGAAATGTCTCCGCTGTCAACGCTCTGGCCGCGAATGTGTGCCGGCCCCCGGCAAATCTGAAGAGGTCTCTTTCCGACATGGCCAGAACCCATCCCTGCGAGGAAAGGGGCCTCCAAGATATGGCGAGAGTAATCTCGCTTTCCCGGACGACCAGGTCTGGGTTGATACCTCTTCCGACTGTACGTGGAATGGTCTTCGGGTTTATTGTCTTTGTACTGATTTCTTGCAGTCGACTTCAAGGATGAAACAAATCAGACGGCAGCTGAATACTATGTTGTACCTGTGACAGGACAGGCGTCAGCTTCAACGTCGTCGTCTGAACCTTCGACACCTCCATCTACAATGGATTCTGGTTTGGCGACTCCAAACCTCGTCATTCCTGCTTACGCCGCAGGATCGCAATCGGGCTCGAGATCGAATTCAGTGAATTCGCCACGTGCACGTACCACGCCCACGCCCATCGGCCAGCCGAGGCTATCCAATGTCACTGAAGCCTTTCTATTGCGGCATTTTCAAAAGTACCTAGCGCCGTGGGTAAGTCAGCTCTTTGATCAAATTCTCCACCCTTAGACTAACCGCCCAGCTCGACGCATTCAACCCTGAACGACACTTCGCAACAGACGTCATCGAGCGCGCGACTCAATCCCCATTACTACTATATGCGTGTCTAGCAGTCTCAGCATGTCACCTATCCCGAACAACAAACTCCATCGCCGGCGACGTCGCACACGCATACCATGAACGCTGTATTTCAATAATGCTCCCAGTCCTCGACCAGCCGGAGTTCCTAATCGGCATTGATATCCTCCTCTCATCAACAGTCATTCTACGATTTTTCGAATCCATCTCCAGTGCGTGGACCACCAATCATCTTCAACACAAAATATTTCTCCGGCTAATACAATGCATCCAACAGCCCATAGTCCCCCGAACGACCAACAACACCATCTACTGGCCGGTTCTGTGTATGTCGGCTCCCACGTGGACTCGGCTATCTCCGGCGGACTCGCATCGGCTTCGTTCTGGGCCTATGTCATTCAAGACATTCAATTCGCGCTCACGTACCAAAAATGCCTTCGGCTAACATTCGCCCCATTCGATGACCGCCTGCGACGATGGTGGGCCGCCAAACCTGCCCTGAGCGACGGAGACTGGACAAACCGCGCTATCTGGCTGTTGGCCGAGACTATCGATCTTTGTTATAATACTTCGGGCCGGAGCCATGATGCTAGAATCGGGAGTGTCGGGGAGGTTGCGCTCAGACATCGCATTCTTGAGTGGGAGCTTGGTCGACCTGATACATTTGCGCCGTTGCATCTTTCCCCGCCGGATCCTGGGAGGGGCAAACCTTTTCCTGTTGCTTGGTATACGAGCTTGTGGCATGGTATGTGATATTTTCCCGTGTGGGGGTTGACATGCTTATTTGGGGTCCAGCTACTGCAATTCAGCACATCTGTCTCACTAAATCCCTGATGCTCATCCGCGAACTCGAGTTTTACGATCGGAGCATGTTGCATTTAGAGCAGCCCGCCAAATTAAGGGTCCGTTCGATTTTTCTTCGAGATACTAGGCTACGTACTGACCCCGATAGAATGATCTCGCAGAAACGCTTAATTTTATATTCGGCATCGCCGTGTCTGGCGACGACGATCCTACATTGCGTATCACAGCTTGCCATGCTCTCTTCGTTTGTATGTTTTGTTCGAATTTGATGATTGAGACACATTACTGATATGACCACAGGCACCTCATGGGTTGAAGACCCTGTTGTCCAAAACTTGCTGATTGATCTTCTTCGCCGATCAGAAAGGGAAGACGGCTGGCCGTGGGGATATATGCACAATCAAGTTGTGCAAGCATGGAGGCCGATATAGTTATATACCCCAGTTCCTTTGCATATACCATGATATAGACCAATTAGAATTGCCCTTGGGCGTCGATCGGTGTGAGCCTCAGGCAGCTCTACACATCTAATCATACTACATATTTATTCTACATGAGACAACAGCCAACCAAATATATAGATATAATCAAACGGACCACAGTACTATGCAAAGCAACTGGTAGATCTGATCCTTAATAGTCGCGTGGGCATGCGATAAACAGATGCCCAGGTGATCAAAGAGGAGCATACCGTGCATTCACTCGCTGTTGGAGAGGCGAACAACAGAGGACAAGAGACAAAAAAAGAACAATAGAATAATGCCGCCTGTAACCAGGCATTCGGCCAGGGGCCACGCCTCAGGCGGTCCCCGATATGGGAACAGCCCCCCCCCCCCCTTTCCCTTGTGTTCACTCTCCCATTTTCCGTTTCCCTCCCCGTTTTCCTTTCAAGAAAACCCCAAGATGCCCCGTTTTGCTGTTTGACAGTCATGAAAACACAAGTAATCCCCCGCGCGGGGGGCTACCTGTATTTAGATGATAGATGGTAGTTTAGCTAGATGCCAGGCAGTTCCGATCTGCCCGTCGTATGTCCCGCTCCGGGACCAGAGCCTCACCGCCTCCGTGGAAGGACTCGCCCCCCGACGTTAAATAGAAACACACACACACACACAGCTATAGGCTTTAGATAGCCAAACACTCATTCTACCTTCTACGGTGTCTATAGAGATCAATGTCACCTCCTTTAGTGTAATCTAAATATCTCGCCTATAAGCCTCGTGCAGTTCAGATAATCGACTCCCCGACTTCCCCGATCCTGAGCTACCCGCTCATTTCATCCCTGACCGGAGGAATCTCGGTCCGGTGGACTCTGCTATATCTACCATTAGGGGTCGCATAGATAGATATCAATCAATTATCTTCCTCAGAGGACATCGCACTTTAGCACCAGGTTACTTAACTAAGTAAACCCTCAATATTGCCTGATACTCTGGACTGCTCTCCACGCATCGCCGCTCAACATGACACTACATGACGAGAGCTCTCAGGAACCAGAGCAGCTTCCTCGGGAGAACTGGGCCTTTCTCCCCAACCTCCCTCTGTTCTCAGGGCCGACTGTTCCAAAAGTTGGACGCCAGTTTTTTACTCATTCTCCCTCTACCATCCTCAAACTGGGCACTGACGATGGCGAAGGCAAGATGACCGCGCTCGCCCATTCCATCCTGGGCCCCTGTGTCCCACGCGTCATTTGCGTCGTCACGCTTCCGAGAATAAGCTCCGACGCCTTGACGCCCAACCGCACCCAACAGGGCCTCGTCCTCACTCGCCAGCCGGGCACGCCGCTAGTCGAGCTCTGGCCCTCACTCACCCCTCTGAAGCGCCAGACCATCAAGGCGGAGCTCTGCCGTCTCCTCGTGCGTATGCGTACGCACCACTTCTCTTACTACGGCCGGCCCACGCGGCAGCCGTACCTCCTCTTCTCCGAATTCGGCATAGAGACGTATGTATGTTGCGCCTCCCGCTCAGAGTGGGATGACTCGCGCGTCCGCGCGCTGCAGGCCTCTGCCCCGGACGCGGAACGTGCAGTCGCCCTTGAGCGAGTACAGCGTGACGCCACCGGCGCAGGTGATTGGGACCGTCCTGTCCTCTCGCATGGGGACTTGTCTGACCGGAACATCCTCGTGGACCCCTACACGCTCGCGGTGACGGGTTTCCTGGACTGGGAGATGGCCAATATCATGCCCGCGTACTTTGAGTACGTCGCGGCACGGCTGTCTGGGGGCCATCAACCTGAGTGGAGGGGGGAACTGTTAGATGTGCTGAGGTCTGTTCTGCGCTGCGAGTGCGATGCTGGGCGCCAGGAAGACCTGGATGCTGTCAATGTCGATGATGGAGAGGAAAGATACAGGAGGACGTTGGCGGCGTGGGATGCTGTCGTCGATGTTGAGAGAATCGCGCAGGGATACGACAATGACTGCGAATGGACTTTTGAAACCGGCCTACCAGATGTTTCACAAAAGACTGGTTCTGCCTTATAGTCCAATGAGTATGAGAAGCAGCAGCAAATATATAGGAGTAATTCAGACATTATAGAGTAGTATTACCTGATGCTTCTTGATGGATCTGATCAGGCTTCTGCTGACTGTCACACTTTCAGCAGCTGCTACAAGCCTTTCGCAACTTGATACGATTTTGTGGGAAAGAAAAAAAAAAGCTTTGCTGCAGAGCTAGGGGCTGCTGGGGTATTACCAAATGCACATGATATGAGTCACACTCGTCCTCTTTTTTCAGAGGTAAGCAGGTTTGTGCCAGAACATGCCTCTGCGCACATGCAGCAGGGCAGCCAGCACCATGGGTGTTAAGACAAGAACAGCCCCTGCTACTCAAGCACATTATCACCTAGGCGCCACGAAACAGAGACAAGAGAAAGAGCCTGAGCCGATTAATCACACTGGAGATGCTGACATGGGAGATGCCCCAGAGGTCCGTGTGACTCCGAACGCAACTCCCCTCATCCCCATCAACCCCCATCAATCACCAACCCAGGCTGGACCAGAGCCATCAAAGCAAGATCAAGGCGACCCAACCCTGCCCCAGAAAACCAACATATAGGCGGCCAGTGCCTGGACGGGATACTCCCCGCCTCTCCGACCCATGAATTTTCCAAAACCCAGCTAAGTGTGGAGCTCCAAAGCCACATCACTGATGCAGTGGCATCTCGCACTGCTCAGATAAAGACTACAGGAGATGAATTCCTAGGGCTTGTCTCTGTGATTAGGCAAAGGATCGCTGTATAGGAAGAACGGAGCCTCCAAGGAGCCGCCTCTTTGGGCAGGGACATTAGGACCCTGGTCATCAATTTCAGCAAAAATTTAGCAACCGAGCACCCTACTGAGGGAAAAGAGAATCACTTGCCCACACGCTCTGAATATCGCGGGGCTTGGAGGGTGGTTTCGTGGTGGCCTTGGTGGTTGTCTTGGGTTAGGGCTTGGGCGGCTCGTCATTTGTGTCATCGTATGTTGTTTCATCGTTGTCCACGGGCGGTTGCTGCGGTTGCTGCGGTTATTGCTTGTGATGTAGTAGTGAGGAGGGACTTTTTGGTTCAGGGAGATCAGGAGTTGGTGATTTCGGTGTTGGTGGCTTCTGTTTCATCTGCTTCTTGCCCCCGATTGTACCAAGGCCTTTTGGTTACACTGATGCGGCTGCTTTCGGGTGTATTGCTGGGGATGGGTGATATTCCACCGTGGTTGCTTTTGCTGGTTTCTGCTTTGGCGGGCTTGCTTCTTCACTTCGTGTCAGGAAAAGGCCATGTCGCTGTACTACAACGCCACCTGCAAGTCAGTTCCGAACATCTGGCTGGTGGGGAACGCGGAAAGGGCCTGAGAGTGTGCAGGATGCATAATCCCACTGACAGGAAGGTCTGTTCCAGAAGGCGAAGACAGAGACTGAGGTCTGGCCCGCACAAGGAGGATTAGTTGCAGCATTCCGCACCCGAGTATGTACTATAGATCCTCCCACTCTGTGCCAGCTACGGGCTCAATCCCGGTCACTTGGGCATCTGTAGGCCTTTTCCAGTAGACCCATTGCGTCCCTTTTGTAGCACGAGATCCAGCCTCTCGCGGGCGATGAGTGTCCCATTGACTCAAGCAGGACATGATCGCGTTTCACAACCCTGGAGATATGGCAGTCCCGCAGTAACTCACGCGAAATCTGCGAGACAACCCCATGAAGAGGGATGGAGAGGCGCTTTTGATCGTCCTGAACCTAGAGGTCGAACCACGCAGGGGCATGCGGTGTTTGTTTGTCTCTGGGGAGGAACCGCTTCAGAGCGAAGGCTAACTGCAGCAGCAGAAAAGAAATTAAATTGGAGAGATTTTGATTGCGCGTTCTGTTACTACGTGAGCTGTGCATCCTCTTGTGTCTTGAATCGTCACACGTAGTAAAGCCTACTAGGGACTTCAGGCAGGTACTAGAAGCTTGCAGGACTGGCTCTTTTCTTTCTACAAGAAGCCTTGATAGTTTATACCTCGCTCTGGCCATTTCAGACTCTGGTACTCCTTCACTTTCAATTGATCTTGCAAGTTACAGCTCTACCAAGATGGACCGCTTCCCCTCTACTCGCAGCTTCATAGACCAGCCCGACCTCTACCAACCCCATTCCAGCTCCAGCGCCTCCAGAACCCCCGAGACTTCCCTTCTGTGCTCGACGCCTGATCCGACTCCAGCTCTAGCAGTCCAGAGACAATGATACCTTATCAGCACCCATGGGATGTTGAGTCTATAGACGGACTGCCCCGGTTCATGGGAAATGGCAATAGGTCAGAGTGGTGGCATCGACGTCTACCAGCTGGTAAAGGCATATCGCCAGAGGCCTCGTTATCGCTATACAAACAGTCTCGGTCTCAGTCTCATCCCTTTGGACTGTCGCAGTCGCCCTCAACGACGACAACGACGAACAGTGCTGCTCCTGATGTGCAGATGCAGTACCATGCTCTCCCGCTCAGCGTGGTGAGTCCTCCTGTCAAGGTTAAGATGGACTGTGATCCTGTGCCGCCAGCGAATTCTTATTCCAATCCGACTCCGAATCCGAGATCGAACTCGAATTCGAACGGGGACGGGCCAGAAGATAACAATGCGGACCCGCCGTACTCTAAACTCATCTACGAAGCTCTGCTGGCTGCGCCGGGGAAGAGACTACCCCTTCAAGGCATCTATCTATGGTTCGAGAAGAACACAGTCAAGGGAACGATCGGGGGTCAAAGGGGTGGCAGAATAGCATCCGACACAATCTTCCATGAATGCAGTAAGACTAAGACATCTTCACAAAGATTCTGTTCAATGGCTGGATGGATGCTGACCTGTCATGCAGGGATTCGAAGCCGTCCGCGAAGAGCCCACCGCAGGAAAGAAGCCTGTCAAGTATTGGCATCGGATCCGCCTGCACCACAGCGTCAGCGGTCAGGAGCTAAAGGAGGAGGGGAGGGTGACGAGGTTCACTGCGAGGTTTCAAAGCTTGGGACATAGTATACATGGTTTGAGCCCGGATGAGTATCAAAGGGAACGAGTCTGTCGGCACCAGCAACGACAACTTTACCAGCACGGCGCTCTCATTGGCTGTGCTAACGCCAACGCCTCCCTGCACGGCCCCTAGATGTACACCACCACAACAACCACGATCTCCGCTGCAAGACTCGCTTGGGCGCGCCGAGCCCTGAAAGACCACGTCTGGCAACAATTTCAAAGTCTCTGGGCCGAGAGAGCGCCGCAACATTACCGAGACCTCTCCATCAACTTAGACAAGCGCCCTCATGAACTAGCCCTCCCCTAGGGCCACACTGGGCAGGATCGTGGCGGCCCGGTCGGGCCATGGAGACTTTGCCCAATACCATGAGCGGTTCAGACATGAAAACGCCAAGCTGGAGTGCTCGTGTGGACGTCCCAAATCGCCCGTACACTTCTATTATTGCCGGAGAAGTCACAAGGCGTCCCCACACCTATGGGGCAACTGACAGGTCGACGAGACTCTACTCTCTCGTAACGGCATGAACCACCTACCTATATAAGTGAGTGCAGTACTAAGCCTATCGGCTTAGTATCCTAGTCTTTTGCTCCTGATGCAGTGGTTATCTTTTTAAAATGCAACCTAAAAACGTGGCCGATTTACGTTTCTAGGTGAGTTTGAATTTCACATGGCTGATAGGAAAGTATGATTTCCCTCGCGAATAGACCGATTATTATAGATCTAGTATGTGAGCATTTAACACGGAATTAGTTGCATCTAAAGAATTCAACCAGCAATTTGACCACCTAAATGGACTCCGATTTGCGAAATAATTATATCAATGAAAAGCTCTCATTTATTTACACAAGGTGAGCGTATTTGCCCTGTCTTATGACAAATACTGCATGTAGGAGGTGCCCGCTTCCTTGGCCGCTCATCTTCCTCTCGTGTAGATATATATAATTGAGCCTCCTCTTGCCCACGCTGCTGCCCTTCCTCTCCAGTAAGAATAGCACCATTTTGAAGGTAAATTCTGCCTGTATCTCGCTTTCGCTTGTAGCGATTGTTGGTGGTTTGTGTATTGGAAAGTTCCTGCTTCAAAAGAAGTGCCTCTGACATGGCTATATTGCAACTTTTAACCACCTGATCAATTGCACTTTGTAAAGGACTTGGGGGACTTCTTGTACGGTCTCTCAACGTTCGCTTGATTAAATTGGACTGTTTTATCAGTTCCTTGGTTTGTTTTGGTGTCTCTGCAGTCCAAGATGATCCATCTGAATGGGAGCTTCCAGGTGGAGGCGGGGTAGGAGGATTGAGTTGAAAATGCAGATTGTCAAGTACTCTTTCAGGTTTATATGGGACTAAACCTGTAGCTGCGAATCCAGCAATGGCATTGGCATTAGTAAGAGCCTCTGGACGAGCATGGTTCTTGTAGATATCCAGAAATATCTTCTTATCAATATGGTGAATTTTGGCTGCCATACAGCTTTGTACCTCACTCCCATACCTCCTTTTTAGAGGCCCAAAACAAGAGACATCAAGCGGTTGAGAATATGAGATGAGTGTGGAGGCAGATAGAGAGGTATAATCTTGTTCTCCTTGCAAAAGTGATCAAAATCTGCAGTTGCATGGCTTTTATGACCGTCCAAAACAAGTAATCTGTATACCCCAGCTATCCGGTCTTTGGTGTGCTTATGGAAGATCTCTTTTAACCAAAGTAGGCTAAGATCATTGTTAATCCATCCTTGGGGGCTTGTTCCAATGACCCAATCAGGTGGAAGTTCATCATACCACTCCTTTTGATGTAGTTGGCCTGCAAAGATAATCATTGGTGGGAGGATTCGGCCAGTGCTTTGAATAGCCTCAACAATTGTGACCCATTCTCGATTCCCTGGCTGACATACACGTGCTCGGCGATCCTGTTGGCTTGTAATCACCTAATAAAGACGCTCATGTATTAGTTTTTATAGAAAGTGCATATAAAATTGGACAAGAGCACCTTGCTTGTGGCAATGATCCCCATTGCAAAACATGTCTCATCAAAGTTGTAGACATCCTCTGGTAGAATACCATACTTTGCAACCATATTCTTGACCAATTGAAACCATTCACCAATCTTCTTTGGATCCTCGCATAGAGCACGCTGATAATCATACCGTTTGGTGTATCTAGATCGTATATCTTCGTGTCGGTTCATAAAACGGGTAACCCAATTGACCCCAATATCTTTTTGGGCCAAAATAGCAGCCATTCGGCGTACAATCTTGAATTGAGGTGCCATACCTCGTTCGTCTGCCGATATAATCCATTCTTTTAATATGTTTTCATCCAAAAAAAAAGTCTTCGACCATTTGCAGGGGTATCGACCCGAGCAGTTCGTCCTTTGAGACGTTTTCCAAGTGTTGCATGAGAGACATCAAAAGCACCCGCTGCAGCGCGTATGCTTTTAAATTGACCACGTTTGAAAGCGTCAATTGCAAGTGAGATACGGCCCTCCTTTTCCAAACGATTCTCCGCGCACATTTGTGGCCATTTTGGTGGGTTAAAGGCTCCGTGATGGTAGAGGAGTGGAGGCTCGGAGAAAATGGATCGCTCGGTGGTGAGTCACGTTACCGATAAAGTGAGCATAAATAATGCATGCCCCATGTTTGCACTGTTTGACCGCCCGCCGGGCAGGGAAAGACTGCCCACCGCCCGCCCATGGGCGGGCACGGGCTGAGCCCGGCTGGGCATGCCCAGGGCGGTGCCGAGGTCTATAGGAACCTATACCCATGTATTATGATCGCATTGGGTATGAGACGACTATTCTAGAAAATATACTTCTCGATGAGCTGTTTCACATGATGCTGTCTCTAATATGCCAAGATGGCCCCTCGTTGGCAATTTCCAATCAGGTATCAATATTTGGCTGATGGAGTCCGGAAAGACTAACTGAAAGGTCTGGGTGGGCGCTTATATGGATGATTAGCTTCACCTGCTGCCTACCTGTTTGCTCCAGATCTTCTGGAGTTTACGTTTAACTGATACATGAAATATCATCGACATATGTATGCTACCCCCCTATTTCTGGAGCGTACAGCATACTGACTCAGTAACCTGACGCGATGGCTCCCATTTATGTTCATATCCTAAGAGCTCATGAACACACTAACAATGATGTTAGTTGACTGGCAAATTTAGATTTCCCGCCAGTTGCCTTGAGTGTTTAAGGTATTATATTAGTATATTTAGCGTTAGAGGTGGTTTATGTTGGTAGTGCATTGTTTTTAGTGCTTGAGCATCATTTGCTTTTAAGTGATATGATCTTATATAAAAAGGTAAATGTTGTATTAAGGACCAGCCTTCGGCACATGAGAAGCTTCGAGATCTACCTACAAACTATAAACAAATTGCTTTGTACTATCAATGAGAGTTCAACCGTTGGGACCGACGGCAGGTCTCATTGTATTTGGTATTCGAGGCTGCAAGTAAACGTGGGTTAATATTCCCTATTTCAATATCAACGGAGGAAGCGGGAGTCTCGGTGGCCGATCGGCTCGACCTTAACGACATGCTGGAGCTGCTGAAAGACGGTGTTTCATCCCGAGACGGCTTTCGTCTCTTGGGAATACGTTCCAGCTTGATATGGAGGTCATAGTGATGAATATTGGCGGCATGTGCTAAAAATTCAGCGATATCGATGAAAGTAGGGAGTTTGCTGCAAGTTTCCCAGGTGCAGCGTACTCCGTCGTGTGCGTTCATAAGGTGACCGATCAGATGACGACGGAGAGAATCCTTCCTTTTTGATGGAACCTTGTGTGGATGGGGATTAGAAGGTGAGCGGCGGGATATACCGCAACAGATGATACATACATCCGTGGGGCACTCTGGGGATTTCTCTTCTGACAGGAAGGCTTCTTTTCCCTCAGATGTCTCGCTCTGCTCATCGTCCCCATCCCAGTTGGCTCGTTTGCCTTGACGATTTGGTTCACAGAGGTGCGAGAGTGCGACCGGGTCCTCAGTAACTTGGATACGTTTTGCAAGTAGTCTATCCTCGTCAAAACACTCCCCCTCCGGACCGTAGAATGACTCCACTAGACGAGCTCTTTCAGGGAAAACGTAATCCGGGATGGGAGACTGCCAATCTTCATCGCCGTCCTTGGTACTGTCAGCATCACAATTTTCTGCACCAGATTTACCCAAGAGTTGCTGGATTTGTCTGTCGATTTCTAGTATGGGTGCCGTATGGAAATAATCTTTTCTGGCAGTCTGCCGAGTATTATCTCGTAGAGCCTTCCCTAACTTGGTGAGCTTCCTGCTGATTTCGTCATGCTCTGATAGAGGTCAGGGAAATGATTTCGAGCGTTCTGGATGGTGCCAGCCAGGGATCGCATTTCTTCCTTTAACTCCCGTTTCTCTCGCCTGAGTTCCAGAATTTCAGGATGTCGACGAATAGCCCGTAGCTGCTCGTCAGTAATGTTTGAAGGGGCCAGTGGAGCTCTGTTCCTAAGCATGCCCGCTGCTGTCTGAAGAAGACCCTCCTGAGGGGGCCGAAGGAGGATCACATGTTGCAGATCTCGCTGGATAAATTCCGCTTGGTAATGCTTTTCAAAAATAAAGTCTCCGGACTGGCCAAGAACCCTCTTCCGCTCTTGACTGGTAAAGTGGCCTGTTCCAAGCACGTTAGGCAAATCCAATAATTCATTTAAAGCCCCCATACCCATGGGAATCACAGAGGTCCTATGAAGGACAATAGGGTCACATGCAGAGATACTTACGATTGGCTTCGTTTGCAGTCCAACGTCGGAAGTTGTAATGACCTAGGTTGTCCTCAAATCCTCCATCCTCACCCAGATCTTTGAGTGCCAGCCGGCTTGAGTCATAAGTCATTGGTAGCGTCGGATGAACCCCGTAGCCATACTGAGTTCGAACCACACGTCGAAGTAGGGGAAGGTTCAACTTATCCTTTTTCCACCGAAGCGGAAGAGCTCTGGTACGCTTCGGAACCTTAATCCGCCAGATCAACTCTGGGGTCAGCTCATTTTCGAAAGCGTCATCGCGGAAGGCTAGTGACACAATTTGAGCAATTGGACAGTATGCCAATTGATAATCTCCATGCATGAAGAACTTCGTCCTTCGTCCCAGCAATGTCAGTAGACATTAAAGTTTGCTGAAAAAATTGGGAAAACTTACCCATCAGCACCCTCTGGCCGGCCCTTAAGATTACGAAATTCAATGATGGCACAGAGAACGTCTCGACCATCCTCTGGGTTTCTGAGGTAAAAGAGCTCGATATCCCTGTAACATATAGTATTGGGAAGGTCGCCGGGTGAAATCCGTTGAGGAAGACACTCTTAAACGAATCACCCCGCTTGCGCTTTCTTGGGCCGAGCGAAAGCGAGCCATCTTGTGATGCATTGGGATCATTTGTAGCATCTCGTTGCGGAAGTAGCACACCTGGTCGAGTCCCTGTGATGGAGGACCAGAGCATGATCACAGCTTGCTGGATAATCATGCTCCCATGACGGAAGAAAGAAGAATGGACCCAGTGGTGGCGTAGAAGGACGCAGAAATCATCTATGTCCAGTGTGCTCTTCTTTTTCACGCGCCTACTGATCTTGCGCTCTGCAGGAAAAACTTGTTCAAGGTACTGTTGTCTATTGAGTATCCAGGTGTAAGAATAAAACAGGAAGCTTAAACATACTCGTCGCATCTGCTCATGAACATGATGATTTACAGGCCGGCGGGCAAACAAGCCAAAGTATTGGCACAAGCGCCGCCAATATTCATCATAGGTCTGAAGTCTTTTCTCACGCGAGGTCCTTGACATCCAGTCAAGAAAGTTCATATAGATGGCTTTGTCTTCCGACAGTAGATATTCCACATAGTCCTCGTTTGAATGTGCACAATATCTGCAGGCTGTCAGTTTTATTGGAACATCCTCTGGTCCACCGTGAGAGTGAAGAGATGACGTGCCTTCGCCAGTACCGTTCGACAACTGCAAGGCCTTCAAGTGTCCTGGGCTTGTAGTTAGGGGGAAGCCATCCCAGATTTCGGAAATGCTCAAGTCTGGTCCGAGTCTCCTCGCACAGGATAGGATCGGTCCAGTACTGGTGCTCGTCGGGGTTCGCAGGAGGAAGAGGAGGCGGCGTCATTGAGACGAACAGATATAACATGAATAAAGAAAAAGGGAGTTTTGAAGGCAGTGCTCGCAACAGTTGACGCTGGGTTGGAAAGGAGAGTTCGTCGAGAGGCGTGACGAGAGACAGAGAAATGGCCAGAAAAGGAGACAAGGGGAAGAGAAAAAGTGACATTTTATAGGGTCGCCCAGGGAAGCCTGTAGGAATCAGAGAGAAGCTGTATTTCGGAGCGAGGGAAGCCATTTTCGGCAGCGATTCGATCATGAGTCGAAGAGGTTCAAGCCAACATGCTACGAAGAAAAATGGGCTTGGCGGGTGCAGAATAGTGGCCGGATTACGTGTGTAAATCGTTCAAGCAGCAACTGGTCGCTGAAACGCCGTGTGGAAATGACGCCGTAAACGGCCTCACTGGCGGTCATTTTCGGCGTCGATTTCACAGGTACTCACATTCTAGTTGTAATATTGAGACCTGTGAATTTCCTTTTCCGGTTAGTTTTTCGACTAATCGAGGAAATTTGCTTATAGAGTTGAAAAGAGGAAAAAGATTTTATATAGAAAGAGATCGCGAGACACTTTCCTAGATGCACTTTATCTTTATTATAGGTCCACTACTCTATTAAATTAAAACCCTAAAAATCTAATCGAAGATATAGATAAGGGTAGAAAAGAGTAAGGCGTAGAAAAATCATATAACTGATTACACCCTTATATAAGTAGAAGCTATCTAGTGGCACTCTAATACGTTTAATACCTAATAAATAAATTATATTTTATATATTACCATTAAAGCTACTAGAAGATAACCTAGGCTATTAGAGGGGGGGTGGAGTAGACACTAATATATCGTGTTAAATTAACTAGATATATATATAATGTTAAATGATTACACTTATATAAAGCGGTAGTGCTATATAATACTGTAATAACTCACCGGCGTGTGGCTTAAGTACGGCTGAGCGGACGGGAAGCCTTGTTTTCCACACCCTATAGTCGTATGTACTTGACGTAACTACATAGGAAAATATATAGAGCATGGAAACTCAATCGTAGGGGAAGGGCCATACCTCAGGCTATATTCACGTTCCTCGCGTCTGTTATTGGGATAAGTGCCACAGAATATTCATAACCCAACGAAAGCCCATTATGTACAGTATGCCTCAACCCTTTTGTATCTAAAAAAGATTCCTGCGATACCAATCGGATCATTGCTTCACGCCAGCTATTTCGAACCAATTTGGCATGACATCTTCTCCAGTGACCGCTTCACAATCAGGTTCAATGAAACCTCCACCCGGAGCGGGTCTTCCTTTCCGAGACGAGTTCGGCATTAGCCCAATGGAGTACATTCGCCATGAGTCCCATAAAAGTACACCAGATCGTCGATAAGGCGAGATATCTTCCATTGCAGCAGAGGGACGTCGGCCACAGTGACCACGCAAAGCCCCATGGCGTAGTGATCGAAATAACATCGTCTGCCCAGAGGGCTTATGGCAAAATGGTAGAGTCAAATACCAAGCCTTCGTCACTGGATCTTCGATAGGTGTTTGTGGTGGACACCAGAGTAGAGAGTGATCATTCCTAACAGACCGAGCGAGCTGAAAGGACGAAAAGAATGGTATCGGTGTGTTTGGGGGAAAATCCCAGGCGACCGTGGACGGATGCTGTAGCGCTAGCGATTCTCTAGTAGAAGGCGACACTAAAGGAGCTCCCAACTCCACCAATACCGAAGCCACAGCCCAGATCTGTTCGGCCCTAAAATCATGTATTTCGTTGAAGGTAGTATATGCATCAAGTTTATTGATTGATTCTCTCGACCAGATCCAGTTCTGACCAGTCGAAGGGCCTTCGGCGCTATTGGTTGATGATGAAGCTCGCGAATCCACAGCTTTTCGGAGGTCAGAATAGCACTCAAGTTGCCATATTGCCCAGTACACGTGATACTCTTCGAGGTAAGAGAAAGGCTCGTTTGCCTTTTGCGCTCGATTAGGCGAGGTTCCTAATGCAGTAACCAATCCTTGCCTTAGAGTCAAGAGACAGATGCATGCCAAACACTGGGTTTGGGCGGCAATGCGAAGGATGCGACAGGCCAGATCTGAGTTCTGCCGGCAAAGAGTGGATTCGACTGCGTTTTCGTTTCCTTCTCCATTCGTTAGTTGCATATACTCGTCGAGACTTGTACAGCAAATCGAAGGGTCATGAATAAGGGCGATATTTGAGAGTAGCTTTCTGATTTCAGGGTGCGATGTAATAGGATTTGATGAAACAAGGTCTTGGATGATCGCACGAGAGTTCGCTTGGAAGACCGCTCTGGCTTCCAGGGATACTGATACCAGGCCATCCACGCCCATGAAGTCTGTATTTCGAAGGACCTGACTGACGAGTTCGGCGGGAAGTCGTTGAAACGGATCCATTGCAAAGGCTGCGTATAAGCATTCAAAGGAAAAAAGAAAAGACGAGGAAATTTCTGTGAAATGGAGAGGGGGTACGGGGGTCCGAATCATACTCCACGGTTGATCGCCTGGAAACAGGGTCCACTAAATTAGTGTGCTAAACCAGGGGATACAACATAGATTGATATACATATGTAGATATTTGCCTCCAGCACTTCTATCCTTTATCACTGCGTAAATGTACTATATACACATATGTATCTTCAAAATTCGGAAAATTGGAAACAAAACCCCCGTTGACTAGCTTTTGTCCACTTCGACTTATTTGCCCCCTTTTCCCTTCTTCCCCTTCTCTTTTCCGGAATAGGGAGCGATTCGAATATGAAGTGGATCCAGTCCTCAGGATTATTATGTTGGTCCTGTCCAATGGTCTTGAACAATGTCACTTTGGTCGGAACCCGAACCCCCAACTCGGGCTTGTGCTGATAAAGAAAGAAGGCGACGCCGGCTCCATTCTTCCCCGTACATCCCTTCGTACAGGGTTATCGCAACAGGAGCACACCACCTTACGTGATTAGTACTCAGTTCGAACCTCAGGATCGACATTATGCAAGACTGCAGTGATCTCCGCCCAGACCTTCTCCCTCACGACTGCTGCGTCTTGGCTTGTGATAATAGTGCCAGGGCTAAACACATATCAGCGACGCGAACTATCAGTTATTGAACAGAAGGGACTTACTCTGTGATAACCTGGTTCTCCAACCACTTCCCGTGAGTCTCCACGTCCTGGTTTACTGCATGCAGCAATGTTTTGCTACCCTCTTCCACCGTCCTAGCAACCAAAGCTTGGATCAGCTTCAGCATCCACGGCGCCTTTTCCCTAGTGAGGAGATCCGATTTGCAGAACCCCGGCGTCACGGCATTGACAATCACAAGGGGGTTTCCGCACTCATCACGAGGCACAAGTCGAGCTATCTCTATGGCAATGAAGATATCCATGAGCTTGGTGACACCGTAGCGCTCGGTAGCACCGCCTGCCGCCTGGGATTTCTTCCACTGCTCCTCGCTATTCAAGATGGAAAGAATGCTCGTCTCATTCCGCTCGTGGAACTTGATCGATTTGTGGATATCGCTCGTAAGAAGGACCAGATGCGGTTGTGCTGATGGATCTCGCTCTTTTGTTCGCAGCAGTAGCGGCAAGAGCTCCAAACTGAGGAGCGCGGTCGATAAAACATTGACCTGGATTCCTCTCTCCCACCCATCGCGTGTAATAGCGTACTCGACTGACGCGATTCCTGCATTCATGATAGCTATGTCCAGTCGGCCGCCCTCTATGGTAATGTGTTTGCGAACTCGAGCTGCGAACGCTCGGACGCTAGCAAATGATTCGAGATCGATCGGCCACACAAGAACCTTTCCCTTGTCCGTATAGCCAGTGCTTGCTTCGATGTTGGCCTTGGCATCTTCACCTTTGCTCAGGGTTCGAACGCCCAAAATGACCGTACCGGCGCCTAGAGCGAGCGCATGTCTGGCAGCTTCCCGGCCGAGGCCAGTGTTTGCACCGGTGATGAGAATGGTCTTCCCCTGGATGACCGAGGAGGGTGGCAAAGTCAGTCTGGTGAATAAAAGTCCGAATAAACCAGTCATGTTGGTTTGTATATTTCGGATCGAACAGAAGGTTGAGATTCAGCAAACTCTAGCCTCTTGGGAATGCTTTTTATTTCAGGCAGTGGAACCTGCCTGGACTGCTTGCATCGTGAGATCATTCTCAGCTGCAGACTGGGATTGGTATCCGACGGAATATCTCTGGCCGATGAAACTATAGCAGCCATTATCGCCTGGCTTCTTTGTTTGTCTCCTGATTCAGGACCACCGGAGTCGGATGGAAATCAGGCCGAGTCCGCCCGGACAGATTAGCTCGGAGATAAGGTTTTAATTCCAGCGTGTATCGTCACGTGCACAGCCCAATCTATAGACTGGCATATACTATTGGAAGTGCGCCTCTATATAAGTACCCAGGGAGGCTTTATTAGTATTTTTATTCTTGAAATGCCCCTTTCTTCTTGTAAACAATCTTGCATCTTCGAAGCCTTGGAACTTCCAAAATGTCATCGACAACTATGATCACTCCAGGGGGCCGACTCATCTGGGAGTGGTGATTTGCCTACAGATGTGTCGGGTAAAGAGAAGGGACTTGTGGCCGAAGAGATTTTTACGAGCTCCCAAAGCTCTCCACGGGAGGTTCACGGACTCAAATTGGTGCTAGTTGGTAAGTGGATCAAGAGCTGGAAAGATAAAAGATAGATCAGAAGCGGCTGACACTACTTGGGTGTTTTTAGTCATGTCGATCTTTTCTTGTGTGTTTCTCTTCGCACTAGACAACACAATTGTAGCAGATGCGCAGCCAGCGATTGTCAAAGAGTTTGAGGACCTGGCGATGCTTCCATGGTTCTCTGTGGCTTTTATGCTTGGCGCTGCGAGTACTCTCTTGATTTGGTACTGATCTAGTCCGCTCTTATATTCCCAGGTTCTATACTAATGAAACTTCAGGGTTAAAGCATATGGTAAATTTAATCGCAAATGGCTGTATATTGTCACAACCGCCATTTTTGAGGTTGGCTCGGCAGTCTGTGGTGCTGCCCCAACCATGAATGCGCTGATTGTGGGACGTGCAATCTGTGGTCTTGGAGGCGCTGGTATGTACTTGGGTATCATAGCCATCCTCTCGATGTTCACTACGCCTACTGAGCGACCAATGTATCTTGGAATGGTTGGCTTGACCTGGGGAGCAGGCACAGTGTATGCAACACCCACACTTATGCATTGTTGAGGGCAAGAACACCTGGAAGGATGATGTTCATGACTAATAGATAGATATAGAGGCTTAAACCAAGTCCGTAGAGGTGAGAGGGTCCCTAATTAGGTAAACGTATGCAGCAGACTCGTTTTATGTCTGTACAGGGGTGGAATATCTAGAAGAGGCTTGATAAAACGAGACTAGCCCCCTCTTCTCTATGAATAGAAGTGAAACGTCCCAAATCCTTTCAAAAACCCCCAATCAAGTATAGGTTTGCTACGCACGTGGGAGCCGATTGTTCATCGCCACCCGACGGATATAGCTATGATTGCGAATAGACAACCTCTATGCTTCCTGGGCGGCTATCTTGTTGGTACTTTTCTTTTACATTACGCTATCTTCTGACTTGAAATTCATCTTGGCGTGAGTTATCATTCCCAAGCTTATGATTTGTAGGAACCAATTTACGTTTGTTTATCAATTAAAAGTACAGCGGGATCACCCAATCCTCCATATGCTATTATTTAAACTTCTCGAGAACTTGGAGACTAGACAGAAGGAGTTAACTAGATAAGGAAAAACAGCCTTGAAATCTGTATTGCTATCTACAGTAGATTAACTTTCTGACTGAAACCTAATTTCAATATCGAATGATTCCGACTTATGTCCCTTTCTGCTAGAATCTCAAAGGCAGACGTTGCTTGGTTTCACTAGATCATCCGAATACGTGGCTTATGGGGCGTTCGGAGCAGGCCCTCCCGTAGAAAGCATTGATGCCATATGCAGATATGGAGGGATTCTGAGGAGAATCATATCTATCGGTCATGATTGCCCCTTCCGTGTTATATCTTGCCGACCCTCTCTCGTTGTTGATTCATGGTTTAGATCCTTAGGGTATGCGAGGCTACTGGGCGTTTCTGCAGAACGGAATCCACCCGCAGGATCAATGATGTCCTAGGCCGATAGGCGGAAAAAGACCCAATGGCGTAATTCTGGTCTGCCCGTACGTATTCGGTAAGCGAATTGGATACCTTACCTAAATGCTACTGTTTTCAATGCATCCTGAAGAACCAAAACGCCGTTATTTTGAAGGAAGATAGCGGCTTTAAATATCCCGTCTTGTTACACCCTGCATATTTGGTCCCCATTTTGCTGGATGCTCGCAAAATAGGTGGTTCAAAAGATCCTGTCCCTGGGGCCCTATGTGTTAGGCCTTGCTAACTGGTAACTGTGAGCTGGTCTCGTATCTGGTATACTTACCACGGTCGTACCTTCGAGCAGTACTCGCAACCGTACCGTCTCCTAGTCCGTTAGGCTTTACGCGGGCTCGCGTCTGTAGAGTAGTCTTGCAAGGTGTTCCAGGTAGAGCGCCAATAAGGTCAGTACCGAAGTAGCTCCCCTTATTGTAGAATGGTTATCACGAAGTCAAACAGTGAATACTAGCAAAGGTGGTTCCGAGTAACAATGTAGGATTGATCGCGAATAACTAAATACATGTGCTGTAATGACCGTCCTTATACATCTCTTCCTCCTCTTTGGTAGGTCAACGGGTACATATGCGGGTAGATACTCGGTATATGGTATACAGAGTTTCTACTGCCAAGACATACTGGCCGTATACCGTGGTTCGTCACGTGTGGCTTTTACCGTCAGTTAGTGTTGTAGAGTAGTGTTAATCTTTATCCGGGATGCTTCAAGAGCAAATAATCTTTGCCAATCCCGCAGGGCATTAGGGTCAGCTAATTTTTCCAAATGATGGGCCTTAGAGCGGTGTCCATGGGCACGCAATGGAATTGCATGCGAAATTTGATAAATGCCGTTCATAGACGCGCTGAGTGAAAAGAAAAGGCAGTTCAAATCGCGAATTGTAAATTTTGTGTAGTCCCACTCTCCCACCGACGCGCCATAGTCAATAACTTTCGCTGAACCCCGAACGTGAACTTCGTCTTGATGTCCGTCTGAAGGAAACGAGCAAAATGTTGTAGAATGCCGACGGAGTTGTCGAGGGGCACTTTCGCGCCATTCAAGTCCGCAAATACGGGGATCCCGGCTTCGTTATTTAGATAGTTCACGATAGATGCATGATCCGGCGTAAGCATATCCAAGGCCACCGTAGTCTCTGTTTTCATGTTTCTCCGATTTTGGGCATCGTCCCCGTCGGCGCAGACCATGCCATTTGCCCAGGTGATCAGCGCTACTCGATACACGGCACCAGCCCACCAGGGTGGACGAGCAGGCTCCGGTACGGTGCGGACATGGCGCAACACTTGGCCACAATGAAAATATATCTGTCGTGGATTCTCCAAGTGATAGGCGTGTTTCTTGTGCAAAGGCCTTTTCCTAGCCCCTTTACTATCGCCACCGCTGCGTGCTAGATGTTCTATATCTGGGAAGCACACAATCACATTGAGCATGATCAGATGATAGAGCATCATGTTGGAAGCAGTTGCTGGCGTGGCCGTCTCATTTGGCTGGATCTTGGCCAGCTCGTACCACTTGTGGAGAAGTTCTTGAACGGTTTGCACTTGCACTGAATGGAGAACAATCGACATGTGCTGGGGTCCTTTGGGACTACTGCCTCTGCCAGCAACAGTGCCCATCGTAGATCGCAGCTGAATCACTTGATTCTGAAGATGACAGAGCAAGAGTCGCAGCGTAATAGGGGAAATGTGTACCGTGGCGCTGAAATTGGTCGTCTCCGAGATCGTTTCCGAGAACCAGCCTATCCATTCACCGAGAGAAGGAGGGATGATGACTTGACCCGAAGGCAATGCCATTTGTTCAATCCAATGCTTGGCGGATTGGGCCCGCCATGCGGCATCCATGCTTGGAATAGGCGTGTTCAGGCTAGCGGAGGGAAAAAATGAGATAGATGGGGCATCTTGGAAGAGACATATCTCGTGATCCAGGATTAGCCATGCATGCGTGGTTCTACTTCCTCGTTAATTTATCCCTGCGTTATTTTAGCGCCGACAAAGATGATTTACCTGTTTGCCCTCTCTTGTTCTTTCCATGCCTCCCAGGACTGAGCGACGTTATCAAAGGATTCTATGCGGGCCACCTGGGCTTGTCTATCGTCATGGTGCTTTGCTTTCAAATGCATCTGAAGAGTTAGAAGGGTAACTTCAGACAGACTGGAATCGCCTTACCTCTAAGAACAAGGATTTCTGATAGTGTGCAGTCTATAAACCAGTCAATGGATGGCATATCCTCTCACAGGGGCTGATCACGCCAAAATGCTTACATCCATCTGCCACTTGTCGCCACTCCACGCGGAAACAAGAAGATTTAGAAGAGCGCATTGCGAGACCTCGTGATCTAAAGCCAGAATGACGTTTTGTTCGGTGAGTTTTCGTAATGAAATACGGCATATCTCGAGCAGCCCATGCGCCAATTGCACGCATGCCTCGCCAGCTCCAGCCGTCATGCCGCCGCCGGCGAGCATGAGGAATATTCGCATGCTTTGCAAGTTAGTACATCTACCGTCCATGTGCTCATTCAGTGACATCGTAGGTATAAAGGGGTAATATGGCTCGTAGCTGGTGAAGTAGGCCCTCAAAAGGGTGTCTAACACGGGCGGAGAAGGCAACATCATAATAGATGGTACGGAACATCCAGGAATTCCATCGTCTTGACCTCGCAGCCCATATAGTTCTTGGGCCTCAGTACAAAGCCACTGCAAAACAGCGATCAGATTTTCTCTCGTGCTGACCAGAAGAGATTCAATCGCGGTGTGTGAATCAACTGCATGACACTGTTGTATCGGTATATTGCCACCCCTGAGCAGAAAATCTAGATTTTTGACGTGGTTCGCGGCCGTGGGTGCGCACGCAGATGACGGCGTAATTGGGTTGCATTGAAAAAGTGGCCAGCCTTCCAGCGTATGGAACTGGTCATAATCGGGCAGACTGGCCTCCAGAGAGGGGAATAAAGATGATGCCGGAAGGTAGTGATCCATGAGATCGTCTCCATCGTCATTTGTCGACCTTGCCAACATGCCCGGGGAGATAGAAAACGCGGGATTCCATGAAGGCATCCCGCTAAAATTAGGCAACTGGGCTGCTGGTGACGGCACTCGAGTTGGAACGACGAAGTCGAAATCGTCAGCTGTCCCGAGCATCCCCGGCATAGGATGCGAAGAGAGAGAGAGATTGGGATGGTAGCTTTCGTCTACGCGAGGTGCAGCCGCTATGAATCGCGCCAAAGAGTCCGCTTCCAATGTGTTCCCGGGGCGATTCCTGGCCCACTTATGGATGGCTGAATGAGACCAGTCCATATACAAGCCATTTCCCGTAGGATAATATTGTGAGGTTGTGTTAGGACCTCCATCGGTAGTAGATGTGACTGGTTCGGACTCGACGGTATCGGAGCTCTCGTTGGTGTTGGTGGGTGGCGGCGGTTTGGATTTATTATTCGCGGACGATCGACCTTGACCTCGCTGTGGGACTCGAGCTTGGCAGGTGAGCTTCTTCACCCTGCATCGCGAGCAGGGTACCTAATTCCCCGCGTCTTAGCATGGACTCATTGATATCCCGAAAAGTTGACCCTTGTACCTTTCTATCGCACTTAGCTTTTGACCTAGCGCAGTGCACACATGCCAGGATTGAATCCACAGGAGCACATGTGGGGGATGTCAACTGTGACATGATTAGAGAAATGGCCCGGTTTGTCATCAGGATGAGGTCGGTCCATCTGATCAGTCCCACGGGGGCGGCATACCTGGTTAAATAAAATGCAAGAGAGAGCCTCGGGAGATGGTGGGTCAGCTACCTAGGTAGCGCCTGGAATTTAACACTAATTGTATATAACCATGTCACCCACTTATCTAGGGCCATTGATGGTGATAGTAACCGTAACCAAGGCGTTCCATGACGCCCCTGATTATGTAACTTTCTGCCAGGGCATCTTACTAAAGCTTCCATGCTGTCCTCGAACTATTGAACAGCCAGTATTCCACCTATCCTTTTCAATCAGCTAAAGAGCACAGTTTCAACTCACCAAAAGCTTTATAAAATTGCTCAATACTGGGCGGTAATTTAAGGCCAACCATTGGATCCGCCACGGCCACGACGGCCACGAGACGCCCAGGTGGGGGACCCTGATGAGACATAACCTTGGAACTCTATGCGTGTTGGCCCACTTTTATAGGCGTATTAGTAAATCTCGTGTGCACTGTTCGAAAGCTGCAGTTGCAGATACAGTAATAGTCTATATCTTATTCTTAGATATATAGATCAATAACAATCCTACATTCGACTGCGGATATTCTGATACAGCCAGTCTCTCCACTCCTGATCATTCAAGATTGACCTTACACGGGCCTCGAGCCACTCTGTATTTCCCCAAAAGCCCCACGAAGCCTGGAATCTACACCAGTCAACCAAAGCCGTCTCCCAGTGTCGTTTGAAGGCTTCCCATTCGTATAGCTCCGATTCCTCCGATTCCTCATCCTGGAGGAGACTCATACGATACTGCTCTAGCAGTCCCCTCTCACCATCACGCATCGACAGCTGCTCGGGCACACTCCCATTGTCATCAACCAGCATATAAAGCGGAACCGAGCAGGTAAGCAGTTTGGCAAGGTCACAGACTCCCAGACCGAGCCCGACGTACTGGAAATCAAAGAATGCCACCCTGTCTCCAGAAGTCGTTGTGAAGAGATTATCCGACTTGACATCACCGTGAATATACGACTCAATCGCCCTTCCACAGGGCGTTAAGAACAACGCAACCATCTCCGCCACGGACAGTGGACACCCTTCCGAAATCCTACATAGGGCATCTGACCACTCCGAGTCCGTGTCCTGCGCAAGAGATGCGTATTCCTTACGTCGGGTCGCGAGGTACGAGTATCCCCCATTCAGCCACAGTCCCCTGCCAACATCCTTGCCTGAACTCTGTCTTCTACTGGATTCTTCAAGTGGCGGCAGGACATATTCATCAAGACTAGGCGGCAGCAGACCTCGTGAGCGGCTGTGGAAACCAGATAGCCAGTCGAGCGCGGCGCGGACTTGTGCGCGATTCAGCGTACCCCTCTTCCCGCCCGCGACGGGAAATTCAGGACGAAGATCTACCATGATCGTAGCCATAAGACCTCTGAGATCCGACGAGTCCGTCGCGTCCATGTCGCGCGTCGAGGCAACACATTTCGCTATGCCTATGTCGGAGCCTAGCTGCGGGACTACTTCGCTATAGAAGTACTGCTCTATCTCGTAGCTCAGCATTTTTCGTAGGTGGCCCTCATCGGCAGTGCTGGCGTCTTTTTGGGGCGGTGAGATGAGCTTCAGGATGAGCGGGTATGTCGTCCCCGCGTCGCCTGGTTCTACCCCGCACAGCTTGAGATGTTCGGCTGCTTTGGTGGTGGTTGCCCGCGCTGTGATAGCACATATTTGTCCGTAACCGGCCCACAGAGTCTGTAGGTTGGTGCATGAGATGAGGTCGAGCGAGTGCCATGAGAGCATGATGCTAGCGACGCGATTGGGGTCATGTGGGGCCATTTTGATTGGAGGCAGGCCAAATTAATGACTGCAGGCAACGAGCGGATATATGGATATTATCGCGCTGGTTTGGGAGGTGAGATGTATAGTACATCTGGATTGCCGAGAAGCTGTGGTGTGTACGGAGCTGCGGAGAATGCAATTCTCCGAGATGATCATATGAATTTCAAGATGTTGAGATAAGTGTTATAAGTATTTTATAGGCCATTCACCCTTTTTAGAAAAAGAAACCCCGGAGGTTCCAAGGTTGGTGTTGAATGTGACATAGGGAAAGTGCGAGGATGTCCATTTTAGGAAGGTACGTGGGGGGTATAAAAGGACACCCTTCCTCTCCTCTTCTTCCTCTCTTCTTCCTCTCCCCAATCCCTCTGGATCACCATCTTATCCATAGTCCCACGAGACAGTGTAGGCAGAGCGTCCCGTAGCACATGGTGCCACCTGGCAGGATCTCAACATTGTTGAGGTCCATATAGGTCAGCAACCAAATCAAACCGGGCTTTCTCATGTGTGAACTTGAAGCCGCGGCTGAGCATTTGGGTTCCATAGCCTCTGGACGGAGTCCCACGGAATAAATGGGGGTTGTTAATGACACCTCTTCCTTCTCTATTTCCTCCCGAGGTCGTTCTCAGTACGTCATATCAAGAAAATAGCTGATTGCATTATACCGTTCACTATGTACATACGTACATATGTAACTATCCCCAAACATCCTCCTGCCACTTATTCTTCTTCTTAATTGTCTTACTCCAACCATTCACCTCGTCATCACTCCAGCCCTTAGCCACCTTCATAGCCTGTCCAACAACCTTCTCAACTTCACGAGCCATACCAGCCCGTCCACAGACATAAATATTACCACCCTCTTCAATAACTCCGATCACATCATTCCCGAACTCGCCAACCCGGTCCTGCACATACTGACGAGGTGTCCCCTCCAATCGAGAGAAGGCAGTGACAATACGCAACCGATCGCCCAACACCGCTTGCATTTCTTCGAATTCCCCGCGATAGATGTAATCTTCGTTGGGGTTCCGACATCCAAAGAAGAGAATCATTTGTCCAACTTCTTTACCGATCTTCAGAAGTTGACAGCGTTCAGATAAGAATGCCCGGAAGGGCGCGATACCCGTTCCTGCTGCGACCATGACTAATGGCGTCTTGCCCAGAGCTGGGAGTTTGAATTTGCTTCGTCGGATATGAGCAAAGACTTTCCCGCCTTGGAGTGCGCCACCGGGGCCGTCAAGGTGGTAGGTGATTCCACTGGGATGGGATTGGGAGCGGGCTTGCTGAGAGAGGGCGAGGAGGTAATTGGACGTCACACCGTGGATGAGCTCGTTGAGGTTCTCCGGGAGAGGAGTTGTTGATACGATCGCTGTGATAGAAGGTTTGCGGGGCGAGACTATGCTGCTGGATGAGATGGAATAGAATCGCGGACGGATGTGAGGTAGTGTTTCGACAAGGTATGAGAGTGGGATGTTATTCCAAGGCCTGTCAGGGCATGCTAGTTGCAGCAGTCTGCCGATGTTGATGTGTGTGCGACCGATGAAGCTGGCGTATGCATCCTTGTCTTTGCCAAGCGCAAGAAGATAGGCCTTTGCTTCTGGGGTGGGTGCGAATTGTGCCAGGTCTCGAACGTTATCGCGGTTGACGGGTGCACAGATCTCGAGGTAGTAACGGAAAATGGCGATGGAGCTGGTCGGGGTTGGGATTGTGACTTTGGTTGCTGAGTCGAGTGACGTGATACCAAGTGGAATATCGCGACGCGAGGAGATTCCGAGGACATCGAGTAGGCGTTCAACTTCAACATCGGGGTTTCCGGGCCAGATGGCAAGGTGGTCTCCAGTCTTGTAGCTCAGCTCTGGCTGGCTGGTTAGGTCCACGTCCATGTGTAGACAGTGACGGTTAGACGAGGTGAAGAGCTCCCTGGAGTCTGAAATACTCAAAGCTCGGACGGCGGAGGATTGAGCCGCTGCCTTTGGAGCTTCAATACGGTGGTTGGGCTCACCATGATGCAGGTCGATAGGCTCAAGAGATTCGTCTTCCTCGACCTTCAAGCTCGGGATATATTTGGCTTCAGCCTCTTGGTATCCCAGTTTGTCTTTGAAGACCGTGAAAAGATCCTCTTTCCATGACATGAAGTCTTCCTCGGTTGCCCCCTCTGCATCGTTTGCCTTTCCAACAGGCATAAGAGCCTGAGCGCCGAACTTGTCCAGCCCTTCAACTATAACATCGACAACTCGGTTATAGAACTTGTAGTTGGTGTTTCCCAAACCGAAGGCAGCATATCGTAAGTTGGATAGCGACACATCGCTGGCTTTGGAGATCCAGCTCCAAAATTCCGCTGTATTGTCGCTGGGGTCTCCTTCGCCGTATGTGGAAACAACGAAAATAGCCAACTTGGCGTTGGGGATTTCACTGATGGCGATCGGGTCATAGTCCGAAAGGTCGGCAGTCATGGCTTCCTGACCCAAGCGGATGGAGATCTCCCTGGCAAGACGGTGGGCGAAACCCTCTGCTGTACCGGACTGCGATCCCCAGAACACCACAATATTTTTGCCCGTCTCTTCCAACTTCTGTGCGATGTTGCGTGTCTCCTTGTTGGCTAAGCCAGCTTGTCCACCATTCCTTAGCTGGGGCCGTTCGAACCAGAGATGGTGCAATGGGTCTGGTTTGTCCCATAGCCGTCCTCTGGAAAGGAATGTGGCTCCAATTCCACCTATCAGGGCGAGGGCGGCATAATCGGCCAATCCTGTTGGTGTAGTGTACTTTGAGAGCTCTTGCAATAGTTCTGGTGGGATATTGAGTGGGAAGGTCGCCATGATTGAAAAGGGCTTGTGGATATTGTGAGGATATCGCTTCGGGGAAAACACCAGTATCACAATTGATGGAACACGCGGCTTTTATGCAAATCCAGGCACTAAACAAGTCAAGCAGCACTCGGGGAACCATGGCCATGAAATAAGTTTCCGTTTGAGACCCTCGACTACATAGTTTGTATTGGCAATGATAATGTCCTAAGAATGTTTAATTCTCAAGGAACACGGGCAAAAATGCACATCTTGGATCTGAAGATCGCTAGATTCAATGAATCGGGCTATATTCACCGCAACTGGTCATCAGGGTCCACGTGGATTGGCCAGAATAGGAAATAAGAATCCAACTGAAGAGAATCCCCGCATATCGGGTAATCTATTCTAACATGAAGGCATATAAATTGCGGGGTATTGGTGAACATCATAACCCTAAACATGTCTCGAAGTGGAAGTGTTCCCCGGGGACTTGCTTGGCGGAGTTATTGGCGGGGATTATATCCTTTTCCATTTTAACTTGAAGCCTACCTACGTACATTCCTAGCTTCGCCTTTCCATTTTAGTGCTTACCTCTCGCTCTTTGATCAAACAACACTGAGCACGCTGTCAGAAAACAGGAGTGGAGGCTCTACCGAACCAAGTCCCCCCCGCTGGTTCTTACACAAGTGCCTGTGTTGTTCGAGTCCTTCATCAGGTATAAGCCTCGAACTCTTAAGCGACGTACGCTTCCTCAAGACATCGCCACCGCAATTGAGTATCAACGAATAGGATCCTTCGATTCAGACTTCGATTGCTCACTTGATGACCCCTGGTCACTAACAGAGTTATGCGAAGATGGGATACAGCTGTGAAATAAGAGTTCAGCTAGATAGACCGACAAGACTGACGCCTTTAATGCAAATTTAGCTAAGGGTCAATGGTTTTGTTTGGATTTTGAGGCTCACCAGGGCTAGATCCATGCCTTTTGCAATATCCATACGCCATTCAGGGCGTTTCCCGGGAATATATGTCGTAAGCTTGTCTGTTCTTTTTGATGTCATCACCAAGGTGTCATTGACGTAGAAATTCGTTCTCAGTTTCCAGATGTCTTGCCCACGTGCTTCAATCACAACTTCTTCCCCGTTCATGGAAGTATTTGCGATGTAGACATCATTTGTCCTTGAAATAGCTCCATCGAGGTGCAACCGTAGCAATGGGCTCACAGGAAGAGCCCTCACCAGGGAGCCTGACAAGCCATGTCACACCAGCCATCTTTCGCGTGATGTCGAAGACCGGAAGACCAGAATCATCCAGAAACTAGTGTTGCTAGGTCAAAGACGCGATTTTCCCGTTGACGCTGAACAGCGTCTTTGGACCTTCAGAAGGACCGATATCGTCATTTGCCCATTCTGAGATGATAAAATCGCCACCAGACCAACTCATGCTATGCTGTTTGAAAAACGAAGAGACATGAATCTAGAGGCAATATGTTCAAGACGAACAGCAATCGGTTGTTTGGGGCTGGTTACTGTCGGTCCCATCTTTATGGAAGAAGGGAGTGAAGACTGTCTAGACTGATTGGTATCGTCTCAGATCGAAGGATAGTCTTGTGGTGTGGTCAAGTAGTATGCTGTAGGTAATTTATGTAGATGGAAGGGCCACGCGTAAATTGACATAGAGCTGGGGGTGTTCCTGGGGGACCAGATCCACTGGTAAGATAAATACCAAACGGCCCCGTTGTAAGGTAACCGGATGGGGGTAGATCATGTACATCACGAGGGGTAAATGCGAAACTTCCGTCTCAATGTCCAATCCTTTAAGACAATTCCAGTACCCAAGTGGGTCGAGGCTAACCTAAAGATGGCACTATCCGGAAGATCCAGAGTGTATATAGCGTTGACGGCTAGATCATGCATATACAAATCCGGTTGACATCATTAATATGGGGTCCCCAATTTAGTAGTACAAAAAGATACAAAAGCACAAAAGCCCCATTCATACACCCGCCAGAGGATTCGAACAGAGTTGACAAATCTCTTTTAAGATACATATGGCCCGAAAGTAAGTTGTGGCTCATTGCAGCCACTTGTCCGTAAAATATCCCGTCACTAAAGCATACACTCCTTTATGCAGGATATCGATGATCTGCTCATTGATCGGCCATGACCTTTATGCCTAAGTCAGCCTGATTCCGCTGGCCATTGATGTAGG